CACATTAAAGACACAAGATTATTTACATTTATTTTTTTATTTTTGTTGCCTGGAGATTTGCAAAGAAAATAGCATTTATTTCTGAAGATAATAGTGTAAGTGTTCTCTTAACCCATCTTTGATAAGTTCATGGTGCTTAGGTTTCAAAATTCCTTCTCCTAGGGTGGCTTTGAATAATTCATTTGGATTTTCAAGAAACAAATATAGTGCTATTTTACTAATGTTCTGATTCTTAAAAAGTTAAAATAACTTGATACTAGTTTTCCTACAGTAAATAAGAGAACAAATTATAGGTTTCAATTCTGAAATTTCTTTCTCTATTCACTGTTTTCATTATCCTCCCCTCCCCCTGCCTTTTTTTCCTTTTCATTGGTGCTAGGGATCAAACCCAGGGCCTCACATATACTAGGCATTTTACCACCCAGCTGCAAAGCAGAGTTTATATTAAAATATCATTTTTTAAATGAAGTACTTTTCTTAAATAATTCCTTCTGTGGTTTAGTTTTTGACAAAATTCAGAAGATAATAAATACTATTTCTTCTAAATTCAGTGTACCACATCCAAGTTGCATCCAGTAGCTTTGCTAACAACTTATATCCTTTGTTAGATTATTCAAATATTTAAATAGTTTTGTAAAAAATTTCATTTGGTTCATGTCCTAATTTTGAGACATATTTGTTGATCCAAAATTATTTATAAAATCAGAGTTGCCCAATTAGTATAAAAGTCTCAGTCTTGCAGTTTACTAGCTTTTCATTTTTTCAGTTAAGAATTTTATCCTATATTTGTTGGCATTTCCTGTGATGACCTCCTTTGTATTGTTTAAGGAGCTAGTCACCATTGTTAGGAAAATACAACTCTGATTTTCTTTACCCTAAAGCACTCAGTAGAGTTGTCATTCTGATAACAGCTCAGTCTTCTTTCTGACTTTTCAGTTTGAGGCTCCTTTGCAAAGTCTGTTTTTTTTTGCAACTGTTGTTGTTTCCTTAAAATAACTATCTCACATTTTTCCTAACTAGCAGTCAACACAGACTGCTTCTATTTCCCCAGTTTTTGTTGTTCTGAAAGAAATCCGGTCATCTCTTTTCAGGATGTTTAGGGTCCCTCAGAGTGAATTTCTAGTATTCTACGTAGTCTATTTGCATAAACTAATAATCTCCCATTATTTTAAACATTGCTTTATTTTAATTATAACCTTACCGCATTTAAATTCACATAGTCCTAGAATTTTTATAAATTTGTGTTCAAATGTTTAAGTTAATGGTTGTCACACAAGTATCAGGTCTCAGAGGTGGGAGCTAAATTCAAAACCTGCAGGGTATAAAGGTTTCTGCTTTTTTTATGTAACCAACCGTAGAATGGATTTTGGAGATTAGTCATGGTAGATGAGAATTAATGCCATGGTGTTTCATTTTTTTTTTAAATATTTATTTAGTTTTTAGTTGTAGTTACACACAATACCTCTATTTATATGTGGTGCTGAGGATCAAACCCAGGGCCTTGCATATGCTAGGCGAGCGCTCTACCACTGAGCCACAACCCCAGCCTTCATTTTTTTTTAAGAGAGAGAGAGAATTTTTAATATTTATTTACTTTTTTAGTTTTCGGTGGACACAACATCTTTATTTTTATGTGGTGCTGAGGATTGAACCCAGCGCCACACACATGCCAGGCGAGCGCACTACTGCTTGAACCACATCCCCAGCCTGATATGTCTTTTTTTTAATACTTAAATTTGTAAATAATAGTTGTAGGAGAGTTTTTGAATTGTATGCATGCATGCATGCAGGAATGCATACATACCAGTGCTTTTGGCTCAGGAAGTGTTCCCAGCCGTGTTTCTTGCCAGCGGTTTTAGAAATTCACTCTTTTTAGTTTCTCTTAACGTCTTCCAGTTTGCAATAAATTTGGAATTTGCCATTGCTTGGACCTGATATTTCCTTGAAACTGTGCTTCATATAGTTTCCTCTGCTTCAAACACTGCAGCTACTCTGAGGTATTCCTTTTATTCTCAGTCTTTATGACTTTTGGATGATTTTTAATATCTAATCAGAAAAAAATTTTTAAATATTCTTAATTGTTTGATTGGAATTTTGCCTAGTGTAATAATTACATATTATCTTGAATCATAGCACAGTTTCTTATTCCACTTAAATCTTATTTTCCTACTTCAGACTCATTTATTTGTATTACTTAAGAAAATGTTCTGTTTTGCTTTTATATTTTTTAAAACCGTGAAAACAAAATTTTGCCCCAATTTAAGTATAGCCTGGGTCAGTAGACGTCCTGTGTAGATCATAAAATTGTTTACAATATATTAAGTGTAAAAATGTGAGGTTACAAAATGATGTGGTAACTGTTTTTGTAGACTGATTCACATTTACAGAATAAGTTTATTACAGAAAATGAAATATAATTTTCCCTTATCAACACTTTGTTGTATCAGAAATGATACAAATCTTTTCAACTTTGTTGTATCAGAAATGATACAAATCTTTTCAACCTGCCTTGTAGAGATAACTTATCACTGTTAACAATATGGTGTATATTCTTTCATTCTTCTCTTTCTCTCTGTGTTGTGCATGTATATGTACAATAAACAGAGACATTGATCTGTTCCTTCACTTACTCTCAGGAAGATAACCTGGGTCCCGAAATGCATACACTTCATGTCACAGAGCTTTGGTGCTTTTTGTTCTTTCTTATCTAGAGCATATGTTCCTCTGTTCTGTTTTTTATCAATACCTACACATTCGTCAGATAAGCCTTTCCTGAGTTCACTAAATCAATTTTTCCTGTTACATACAGGTTGAGCATTTTTAACCTGAAAATCCAAAATCCAGAATGCTCCAAAATCTGAAACTTTTTGAGCTCTGACATGATGCCACAGGTGGAAAATTCCATACCTGACTTCATGTGACAGATCACAGTCAAAATGCAGACACAATAAAAATATCATATAAAATTACCTTCAGGCTGTTGGTATAAGTTAAGGTGTATATGAAACATGAATGAATTTTTCGTTTAGACTTGTGTCCCATCCTGAGATATCTCATTATCTATATGCAAATATTCTAAAATATGAAAGCCAGGAAACACTTTTATTCCTAAGCATTTCAGATACCTATACATATTCCCAGATGTCACATAATTCTTTTTCATAGTATTTGTTACAACTTTACATTTACTTATGTCATTAACTCTCTTATTAGACTTTTTAGCTTTTTGAGAAGAAAGTCCACGTTTGTTTTTTGCTTACTATTGTATTCCTGGCATGTAAAATACTGAACACTCTAAATATTTGTTAAATTAGTGAAAACATTAGAAACACAGGCAAAAAATGTAAAGAAGCAGTTTACAAAAGGAGAAATACAGACGCCAGTAAATATACCCAGTATTTTCAGCCTTGTGTGTGATTGGGAAATAGAAATTAATGTCATCTCTACTGTCTTGAACATTTTTATAGACTTATACTGTCAAGTGTCCATTTAAGAGCATGTTTTTTAAGAGGATAGTATTAAGTGAAAGTGTGTTCAACCATACTGCAGAATATTTTTCAGCTATAAAGAGGAAAGTCTTGCATTTTGGTTCATTTAGAGTAATCTCATTAATTTTTTTGTTGTATAGAAATTACCATGTGTGTTTTGCACACATATTTCCATAGTAAAGGAACCAGAAAGACTTTTATTATATTGTTGATAGGGTTTATATCTGGGGATTGAACATGGTAGTAGAAAGAGAAACAAAAAGGAGTTCCCTCTCCCCCACCAATTCTCTCTCAGTGGACTTATGATTGTTATTTAAAAAAATTTTTTTAAATATTTATTATTACTTTTTTTATAGTTGGACACAATATCTTTAATTGATTTTTATGTGGTGCTAAGGATCTAACCTAGGGCCTTGCACATGCTAGGCGAGTGCTCTACCACTGAGCCACAACCCCAGCCCTGTTATTTGTTTTTTGTTTTAACTATTGAGATTATATAGTTGGTTTAAAAAAAAAATTAGTTAGGGATATCAAGAAAAGACCCATTCTTTATATGTGGGAGAAAAAAATCAGAGATACCAAAATCCTGGTCCAATTTAGATCCATAAGTAGTTCTAGGTTTGGAATTTATATAAACAAAGCTTAATGACTCTGGAAGATGTGTACTTGACTCAGTGAAAGGGATTAATAACTTTTGGAAAGTTTGAGGAATCTTGTGGGTACTTTCTTAGAATTGTGTGTTGCATAAAATAAAATACAAAGTACAGTTGAAACCAATTATACTGGAATTCATTTATCAAAATGCTAGAAAAACAATGCTTGTGGTGTAGTTATGTATCTGCTGCTTCAGTAACACACTATGATAACTACTAGGTCTAATAACTACTCTGAACTTCAGAATAAGGATGAGCAGAAACAATATTTAGTTTTATCCTGATAAACTGGATTTTTAAATGAACTTTCTGAATTCTACTTATGGACACCGGTTAAGAACCTTTGCTTGGGGCTGGGGATGTGGCTCAAGCGGTAGCGCGCTCGCCTGGCATGCGTGCGGCCCGGGTTCGATCCTCAGCACCACATACAAACAAAGATGTTGTGTCCGCCGAGAATTAAAATAAATAAATAAATAAATAAAAAAAAAAAAAAAAAAAAAAAAAAAAAAGAACCTTTGCTTATGGGAATGAAACTGGGAGTGTAGATTTCAGGAAACCAGTACCTATAGAGATGGTAAAAAGTCTCAGTGGAAACAGTATGATCCTATGTAAGATTTTCTAATTATTATTAAAAATTAACATTTTTATACTAGTACGGGAGTGAGTATGTTATAGGAAATTTAAGAAATCCAAATTAAAAAAAAAAACATTCTGTGGTAGTTATCTTAAAATTTAAATAATCAATATATTTTTTAATCCCTGCTTTCTACTGATTCTCTGATGGATGAACTTTCTTCATTTGATACATTTCATTTTTTTTCAGTGTTTTTGCTTAACTAGTTTTGCTTTGATTTTACAGGTTTTTGATTGGTCAGGGAGCACATGTTGGTGCTGTCAACAGTGAAGGAGATACACCTTTAGATATTGCAGAGGAGGAAGCAATGGAAGAACTACTTCAAAATGAAGTTAATCGGCAAGGTAATATTAAAAACAACAGGAAAAAAGATTCTTAAAACTGTTCAGAACGAATAGATGCTGTGTTTTTCCTATAAAAGTGTTTGTTGACATTAAGGATGATCATATCATCAGCTTACCAAACAACATTTACTGTATGATTCTGTTTAAAAAAATGAATATTCGATTCTTAGTTTTCTTTTTAATATTTTTTAAAATTGAAAGAAGTATCAAAAGCAGCAAGAAGGCATAAAATTATATGGAAATAGAGGAATTCAAGAACAAATTAGAGCAGACAGAGGGAAAAGAAAGTGTGCAGAATGGGTGTGACACATTGTAAATTTAAATGCCATGGTCAAGAAGGGGCATTTAAGTTGAGATCTGAGTGAATCCTTTGGATCTTGGCAGAATATTCCGGACAGATGAAGTAACAAGTATAAAATGAGGTGATACTGTTATATTCAGAGAAGCAGCAAGTACACTAACTAGCATGAATGGAGAAGGCAGAGCAAAGTAAGTAGGAGGCAATATCACATATGGTCTTGTGAGTCATTTGGAGGACTTTGTGGGCAAAGTACTAATGTGATCTCATTTACTTTTTACAAAGTATCCCTGGCTGTTGTCTTGGGAATAGACTGTAGGAAGGCAAGGTGAAAAGTCAAATAGGAAATATTTGGGATAATTCAGGCAAGATAAGGTAGATTTAGACTTGAGAGGTTGTATATTAAGTGATGAGAAAAGATTGAATTATGGGTATATTTTTTGAAGGTTTGGCCAAGAGAATATAGGGTGTGTAAGAAAATACAACATTTTTAGTCTGAGCAGTTGAATGGGTAAAGTTTCTATTTGAGTTGTGAAGATCGTCAGAAGAGTATGTTTTAGGGAAAGATCTGGAGTTAATCATTTAATACATGTTAAGTTTGATTGCCTAGTAGGTATTCAAGCAGTTGAATATGTGTGTTTGAAGTGAAGTACAAGATTAAGATATAAATTTGGTAGATGTCTCTTTATAGGCGGAGAATGATTACTAGTGGTGCATTTTATTTTGTGAGTGATAAGTATTCTAAAATTATAAGTGATGATTGTACAATTCTGAAGATTTACTAAAAACCATTGACTTGTATAATGTACACACATGCACATGTGTGTATTTAATACATATATTATACAGCAACTCCTCTTCTGGGTATATATCTAAAAGAGTTAAAAGCAAGTTCTTTTTTTGCAGGGGAGGGGGACTTGGGATCAAACTCAGGGGTACTCGACCACTGAGCCACATCCCCAGCCCTATTTTGTATTTTATTTAGAGACAAGGTCTCACTCGCTTTTTTGCTGAGGCTGGCTTTGAACTTGCAATCCTTCTGCCTCAGCCTCCCGAGCTGCTGGGATTACAGGCGTGAGCCATTGCGCCCAGCAAAAGCAAGTTCTTGAAGAGATATTCGTACACCCGTGCTTATAGTAGTATGATTTACAATAGCTCAAAGGTAGTAGTGATAGTAAGCCATTGACAGAGAAGTACGTAAACAAAATGTATATATACATACACATTTCATTCAATGAAATACTAATTAGCCTTAAGAAGGAGGGGAAATTCCAACATGTTACAGTGTGAATGAACCTTGACAACATTATACTAAGCCAGTTACAGAAAGGTAAATACTGTATGAATACACCCATATGCAGTACCTAGAATAGTTAAATTTGTAGAAAGTAGAATGATGGTTGCCAGGGGCTGGTAGGAGAAGTCAGTGGAGAGTTGTTTAATGGATGCAGAGTTTCAGCTTTGCAAGATGAAGAGAGTTCCAGAGATTTCTTGCACAACTGTGTGAATGTACTTAACAATTTTGGACTGTACACTTAAATTGGTTAAAATGACCCATGTGTTCTTTGTGACTGACTGGGAAATGTGTGGCTTACTTCTACTACCTAGCATTGTTAGAAAATGTCTTATCACATACCCCTAGATCAGGAAATGATCAAAATTCAAAGTAGGATTTCTTCTAATTCACATCCTTTTGTTCCATTATAAAGTTGAAAAATCACAAGTCAAACCATTATTAGTTAGGTTTTGTGTGTATGAGAAACATTGCAAATGAAAAATTGTCAGTAATACGCAGTTTGAATATATAATTTCTCTTAAATTTTAAGATACTCATTGTAAAATGATGAAAACATCTAACTTCTGTATTATGGTTGCCAGAGTGTCCTTTATGTGCACTTACATGATGAAACACTTGTTATCATATCATTGATGATTTGTATTTATCCTTTGTAAGAGCTATGATTTGTAAAATTATGTACATATTGTTAATTTTATCTATGAATTTTATTTTGGATAGAAAAGAGGCTATTAAGATATTTATTTTTAAAAGATAAACAGTTCCTACAACATGGTCAAATCTCAAAATAAATATGCTTAGGGAAAGAAGCCAAATAAAATGAGTATATCCTGTACGATTACATGTTATAATATTCTTGAAATTGCCAGCTAACCTAGAGTGACAGTGATTTGCCTGGGAATGAGTGGGACAAGGAATGGCAGGAGGGGAATTAAAAGGGAAATAAAGAAACTATGGGGGATAAACTTTTTTGTTTTTTAGCTTGATTGTAATGATGGTTTCATAAGTATATGTCAAAACTTTCCAAATTGTGAACCTTCATTGGCAACTATATCTCAAAAAAACAAAGTACAAGCCAAAAAATGGTTAAGATGATCAATTTTATCTTAATAAAAATTAGTTTTACACCGGGGATTGAACTCTGGGGCACTTGACCACTAGGCCACATCCCTAGCCCTATTTTGTATTGTATTTGGTGACAGGGTCTCACTGAGTTGCTTAGTTGCCTCGCTTTTGCTGAGGCTGGCTTTGAACTTGCAATTCTCTTGCCTCAGCCTCCTGAGCCACTGGGATTACAGGTGTGTGCCACTGCTCCTGGCTATCTTTAAAATTTTTTTAAATCTATGTGTACATATAAAATTACAGTGTGTGATTTCCATTGCATTCCAATATATTTAGTATTATCAAAACTGAGCTTTACTAATGTAGATAAGCTTTACTTATGTAAATAAGCTTTACTTATTAGGACTAATAAGACCTAATAAGAAAGAATATGGGATCTGCCTTGAGAGGGTTGGCTCCTACCAAAGTATGGTTTATCAGGAAATAAATGCTAAAGATTTGAAAAGAATAGAAATTAGGCAAATCCCTTTAAAAAGACATTTTAATTCCTTGGATTGGGAAAATTTTAAAATGTCAACTGGTTTGTTGGGGGAAAAAAAACTTAGACACTAAAACTTAGAAAATATTTAAATAGCTAAAGTAGAACTGGGGCATTATAAAAACTGATTGAAGGTATCTAGCCCAGGAAAAACAGTGTACTTTAGACAACTGTTATAAACTGGAGACTAGATAAGCACACAGAAGAGCTTTTAAGAGCCATATTCTAGGAACATTTCCAAGTCAAGGTATTTTCTAGAATGGAAACTGAAAGAAGAGAGAGGTATAAAGTATAACAACCTAGAAAGAATAACTCAGTCTGCCTATCTTGCCCTATCAACATAATAGAAGCCAAAATTAATGCACAGAAAGCCAATAATTTTCTTGCAAACAATAATAATTCAAACAATGGTAAATCTTTTTATGCTGCTGTTTGTCTGATATAGTTAACATTTGTTGTGAATTACAAATGGCATGAAGTTGTACTAAAAACTTCTTGCCTTTGGTTTCCTTGTACATAACTGATTCATTCAGTGTTGATTAATTGTGCTAGCAAATGTTCTAAGTGCTAGGTATTAACAACAAAGGAAAATAATAAGACCGTTTTTGTTCTTAAGGATTTCACAGTCTAGTGGAACTGGCAGATATTTAGAGAGATTGAAAATACAGTGTGTGGTATATGGTAAAATATATAGGAACATGTACGAGAACAGAAAAAGCTATGACTAATTGCAATAGTTAGGACAGGTTCAGAGTGATGATATTTGGAGAGAGTTTGCTTGGCAAAGAAAAAAGCTGTTGGACAGAAAAGGTATGTCAGGCGCATTGGATATATAGCATATGTAAAGAATTCATTATAACTGGAATGGAGACAGAAAGTTGGGATGGGATTAATAGAAGGTGAGGCCTAAAAAGACAGGCTGGAACCAGATGGTGACGGACATTTGTAGACGTTGGGATAGGTGAAGCAAAGATCTTTCATGAGGAAATTAATCTGATTGGATTTAGTTTTCAATAATAAAAGCAGATGGCAATTTGAAGGATGCAATAGAATGTGAGATACATGGTGGTGCATATTCCTTGAAGAAAGCTCTTCAGTTTGTCAGTGAAAGATAAGAGCCAAAACCTAGTGCATTTGAGATGGAAAAGAGTAGAACTGTCTTTAGGAACTGTGGAAAATTAGAACAGTGTGAAGAAGAAATGAATGTAAAGTTGAAGGAGGAATTAAGACCATCTCACTGATGTTTGCAGTCAAAGAAGTATGGATTAGATGAGTTAATGTGGGAGAATGGAATAAGGCAGAAACAGAACTAGGGGGAATATGAGTTTGAAGACATATAGACATATTTCCTTTTCAGTAGCTAAAGGACATCGGGATGACAGCTTTCGGTGCATTATTGGAACATAGAAGATATCAAGATGAGAAATGTAAATCTAGAACAGTAGATGAAGGGAAATTTTGAGAACTAGTAGGTGAGGTGATGCTAGGAATGAAAAGCCAGAGTAAATCCTTCTATGTGCAGGCATTGATCAAAAAGGCTTTTCATGCATTGTCAAATGTTATCTTCACAACAGTTCTATTAGATTTATACTATTACCTCCATTTTGTAGGTGAGAAATTTGAGGCCTAGTAATTTGCCTGAGGTCACACAGGTTAGTTAGAAAGCGAGAGTTATATAGTTCTGTCCCAGTGTAACAGATATATTGAGCCCACACTCTGCCCCACTTTAAAACACTGCGTTTTATTAAGAATGTCTCCTAGAAAACACTTCATGATGTTCACTTTATACATAATGAGAATGCATGAATTTATATAGTATAATAGTTATTAAAAAAACATATAAGGGAATCTCTAATAGATTTTAATAATTATAAAAAGCATAGTAAATACCTCTTCAGATTACCTTGCTAATAGATATATAATATCAGATTTATATTTTTAAGTTCTTTAATCATTCTTTTGACTGTATTATAGTATGTATGATCAGTAACTAGTTATGATTAAGAATATTGCCTTTGAAACTAGTAAAGACTGAATAGAAGCCAAAAGTATTTTTGATTTATATTTTAATATGATTTTCCTTATTTAGCTAGGGTCAAAATCCATTTTTGATTCTTAACTGAACAAATTCCAGTTTAATTTTATTTCTATTATCTAAGAGATTTGGCTACATTTCAATGTAATACTCAGTGCTTTTAACTAATACTGACAGTTGTTAGTCTAATCACTTTATTATAGTTTCCCTTCATTATTTTTGTTTTTTAAATCCTTGCTGCAGTTATAGTTGGTGAATCAAGGACCAGTTAAATGTATAAATGTTTTCTCTATTAAACCATAAAGCAAGACAAGAGAAGAATCATAGAATTTTAAAACTAGTAATAATAATCACACCTGTGCTGGGGTTATAGCTCAGTGGTAGAGAGCTTACCTAGCACTGTGAGGCACTGGGTTCAATCCTCAGCACCACATAAAACTAACTAAATAAAATAAAGTTATTTTAAAAAATAATCAACATATTAGTGTTTACTCCTGATCTAAACACTTTACATAGGTTAATTTTTTAGAACAACTTAATAGGGTAGGTACAGATATTACCCCCATCTTACAAGTGAAGAAACCAAAGCATAGCACAGATTGTGTCTTGCTCAAGATAATATAGCTTGTCAAGAGATTCAAACACATCATACCAATATCCAAAGAAGTAATGGTTTTAAGTTTTTGATGAAATGAGCAGGTCTGTTTTTCAATCATCTTTTTCTTTTCTTTTTTTTTTTTTTTGTTGTTGTTGTTTGTTTTGTTTTTGTTTTTTGTTGTTTTGTTTTGTTTTATGGTACCAGGAATTGAACCCAGGGACACTTACCTACTGAGCCACATCCCTAAACCTTTTTTTTTTTTTTTTTTAATTTTGAGATAGAGTCTCACTAAGTTCACAAAGTTCTGAGGCTGGCTTTGAACTTGTGATCCTCCTGCCTCAGCCTCCTGAGCTTCAAATTACAAGAATGTGCCATCACACCCAATCGTGTTTTTAAAACATTTTTTGGACGAACAAAGTGAAGGACTTTTCTAATTTTCTTCAACATGTAGAATATCCCTTTATATATAATTTAGCTTTAAACTTGAATTGTTTTATATATATACTTTTATGATTACACAGAGATACACATATATACATAGTGTCTGTCTGTCTCTCTCATGATTTGTGGCCAAAAGAAGTGATTTCTTTGTAATTAGATAAAGATAGCATAAAGTTAGATGAATATAGAAGTAGGTATTTTTTAATTTCAAGTAGAGGAAACGTAAAATAGCAAATGTAAGTCACAGTGTTTAAGATTGTGAAGATAATAGAGATAAAATAATAAAGAGGTAATGTTTTAAAAGATAGCAAAAGAATAAAGAGTAAGAAATCATTTGCTAAAAATATTGTTATTAGTGTATTGTAATTATAGCTTTACAGTATGGTTAACATTAGACAGCATCTTAAGTATACTGATTATCTTCTGATAAGAAATTTTTGATAGGTAAAATAACTATTATAATAGTGGTAACTTTTTTACAAAAGTTAAAATAGGTTGTAGTCATTATTTATGTATAGTTTATATAGTTGACTGTTTGTAAGTCTATTGTAAAGACGACTGGAAAGTCTTATTGTAAGTTTCTTTCAGATGTGGTAGTGAGAAATTCAGTCTCTAGTTTGAAGAGGCTTTTCCCATAATTGTATAACCTTGGGGTTTTAAAATTATTTTTGAATTGTTGTATACTTTTTAAAAGTTGAGCTTCAATTAAGTATTGAACAAGTTTAGTTGTCTTGAAAAAGCTTGGTAATGTGCTAAGCAAGCAAAAGTAAGGCTGTGAGTCAGGTAAAGGATAATAGCTTACCCAGTAGCACAGAGGTTGTACTTACTAACCTGTGTGGAGATCTGGATTGTTAGAAAATGGAGTGGTATAAGAAGACGACGACTAGAAATGAAGTTAAAAATGCATTAAGATCACATCATTAAGACCAAGTTTTTCTGCTACATTTGAGCTATGTCTCATAAGTGGTAAGCAGCCATTGTGAAACTTTATGTAGAGAAGTATTTTGTTTTTTTCCATCTGGCAGCAGTGAGGGGAATGAATTGGGAACCACTGAAGCTGAGTAAAGGTTTGTGAGATTAAGGTGTGAGGTGTGAGATGTGAACAGAGATATAGTGACAGGAGCCATCTAGAACATAGTCTAGAAGATGGCAACTCAAAATCTTGTAACTAAATGGAGATTGGGAATAAGATAAAGGGAGGCATTCAAAAGACCCTCAGGTTGCTGGGTAAATAGTGGTACCTAGTATAAGAAATATAAGCAGTAAGCAGAGTAGTTAGGAAAATCAAATTAAGATTTTAGCTTAGCGTTTAAGCTCATAGTATATCATCTTAATATATTATTCTTTTAGTATCTTGTTCTGTTCTCCAGGCTCAGATATCCAACTGACTACTTAATTTCTCTGACTAGATTTCAATTAGACATCTCAACCTTCACATTTATGAAATTTGAAATTTTAGTTTTTCCAGTTGCATGGGCCAAATACCTGATTGATCCTCTACTTCTCTCTTTCTCCTATATACAAATTAATGTCTATATCCAACAACAAATTCTTTTGTTATGCCTTGAAGAATTCAGAATCTAACCAATTCACTTGTCTTCACTACTTCACTGCAGTTCAAGTTACCTTTATCATTTGCTTAGATTGTTTCAGTGGCCTCCAAATTGATATCTCAGTTTTATATCTTAACTATCCAGCATAAGTGATCATCCTAAATTAACTCAAGATTGTATCACTTTGTTCATGTCCTCACTATTCCATAGGTTCCCTGGCCACCTTCTGTATACGAGGAACATTCTAAGCAGGCTCCCACCTCAGAGGCTACTGGTACTTTCTTGCCTCTGCCTAAAATGTTCTTCCAAATAACAGAGTGGTTGACACCCACCTCTCTCTTATTTTAATATCATCTGATCAAAGACACCATTCAGTTTATATAAAATAATAGCCCCTTCTAATTACTATTTTTTAACCCTTATTTTCATTCATAGGCATATCTTGCCATATAACAAGTACACTTCTATGGTCAAACACCTAATAAAGTATTTCCCATGTAGTAGATACTCAGTATGTATTGGAGAAATGGATAGATGGATGGAAAAAATCCTTACCAGATAGTTGGATATATGGATATGGATTATGGGAGATAGATTAGCTGAGAAGATTAAAAAGTTTTGTGTTACTTATTTTTTATTCATTGTTCACTTAATTAACATTTACTGACCCTTTATTTTGTTTCAGTTCTTCTGCCCAAATAGTGGATTTACAGGATATAAAGATAGTATCCATACTTTTGTAAGCTCATAGTTTTATAAGACAAATTGTAAATACAATTGTGGTGTATTATTTATTAGATATCCAGCAGTTGAAACCATAAAACAACATGAGATCAACAAAAGCATATCACTTAGGAATTTCAGACTTACCTTTACTAATTATTTTTTTTCCCCAAGAAGTGAAAGTTTTTGAGGTAGGAGCTAGTGTGTCCTATCCAGTTTTGTATTCTTCCCACTTTTATCATAGTGCTTATATATGCTTTTAAGTGAATGAACATCTAAATAACTTAATAAAATTATAAAAATAATCCTAATGGTATGAATAATGTACTATGTTAAAGAAAACAAGTTTAAGGTCTTATATATTCTTAGATGAAGACAAGACCTCCAAATTAAAGCCAAGTTACAGTGTTCAGTAAACATTCATTCCTACTAGGCTAGGGTTTAGAAAACTGGTCAAAAGGAAATATAAATTTGAGAATTTGGGGCTGGGGCTCAGTGGTAACGCACTTGCCTGGCATGTTTGAGGCACTGGGTTCATTTCTCAGCACCACATAAAAATAAATAATTCAAAAATAAATAAATAAATAAATTTTAGAATTAAAAAAAAAACTTTGTCTTTTTTTTTAAACCCAAAGATTATCTTAGGAAATGTTTAAGCTTTTAAAACCTGAAGGAGTAATCAGAAAAAGCAAAATGAAAACCAAAATAATATTGTGGGGCAAGCACTAATCAGTAGAGAAGGCTAGTAAGTTATCTACAGTGTTTCCGTATTCCTTTATTTAATATATTTTAAGCAGTCCATTTTTCAAAAATATGCTTTCATTTTTAGTTTTCCTTTAAACTTTAAATATTTTGGGTTAGCTTTTTAGCGTAGAAACAGCATTTATGTTTTTAATAAGAAAATAATTGTTTTTGTTTTATCAGGGGTTGATATAGAGGCAGCTCGAAAGGAAGAAGAACGAATAATGCTTAGAGATGCAAGGCAGTGGTTAAATAGTGGTCATATAAATGATGTACGGCATGCAAAATCTGGAGGTACAGCGCTTCATGTTGCAGCCGCTAAGGGCTATACAGAAGTTTTAAAGTAAGTATTGTTTTTTTACAGAATTTATTGTTTTGCTTTGGTTTGTTTTCTTTATTTCATTATTCCTTTTCTTTAAATGTCAGCAAACATTATCTTGGGGCAGCTTATAAAGAAGTAAATGTCTTTCTTCAGTTAGAAAGAGAAAATTACCTTGAATGTGATTGCTTTTTTTCTTTGTTTTTTTGTTTTTTTTCAGTTTCATTTTTCCCGTAAAATGAATTTACATTTCAAACAACCATTATGTGTTACCTTCTGGGCCAATAAATTATTACACATTTTGAGGTTCTAATGTGTAGAACTGACTAATTCCTGAGGCTAAGAACAATGCTCTATGCATGTATCATCACATTGAGAGCTTGGTTTCTGCTGAGTATTTATTTACATATAGTTTATCTAACATGAAGTTTTTACTATAGGTTCACTAGACTCAGAATGTTAATAGTATAATACTAAATATCAAGCCATGGGCAACTTTGACTACCTTAGGGCTATGTATTGATTGGCAAATTTCCTTGTAACAAAGTTCCTTTATCTCTCTCTCTCCACCCCAACCCCTGTCTCTCCTCCACCCGTCTCCCCTGCCCCCCCTCCCCCCGCCCTCCCAGTCTCTCCCCCGCCTGCCCTCCCTGTCTCTCCTTCCCGCCCTCCCTGTCTCCCTCCCCCCCTGCCCTCCCTGTTCCCCCTATCTCTCCCCCACCCCACCCTTCCCGCCTCCCCCCCACCCAACCCTCCTCTAGTCTCTCCTCCACCCCATCCCATCCCCCCCTTCCCCCCTCCTGCCCTCCCCATCTTTCCCCCCACCGCTGCTGCCCTCCCTGTCTCCCCTTCTGCCCTCCCTGTCTCCCCCCCTTCCCTCCCTCCCTGTCTCCCCCCTTTCCCTCCCTCCCTCCCTGTCTTCCCCCATTCCCTTTTGTGTGTGTGTGTGTGTGTGTGTGTATTTATTTTATTTTATTTGGTATTGGAGATTTAACCCAGGGATACTTTACTACTGAGCCACATCCCCTAGTGCTTTTTATTTTTCATTTTGAGACAGAGTCTCACTAAGTTGCTAAGGCTGGCCTTGAACTTGCAATCCTCCTGCTCAGCCTCCTGAGTTACTGGATTACAGGTGTGTGCCAGTGTGCCCAGCTCTGTGTGTATATATTTTTTAATTATGCTCCAACTATATAAAAAAATTACCCCGTGTGTGACTTTTGTTATGTGTATGTGAGAGGACTAATAAGACCATCCCTCAGATCTATTTTACCCTTTGTATTGCTTCTAATCCATTTGAGCTTCTGTTAATCAATATCTTCTTTACTTCTCATCAGTAAAACTATGGAAGTGGGTCACCAGTTCCCAAGTTTCCTCCTTTTCAATCTCTATTCAACTTCTATAATGTAGTCTTTCTCCTAGAATAGCAATGTTATCTTTTGTTTGATTTTCTTGTCTCCTGTTTCTTTCTAATCTAAAACTTTTCAGAACTTTTAACCCCGTTAGCGAGTCATGAAATGAACATAGTGAGTTACTGGCAGCATTTAATAAATAAATAAAAAGTATTAAGAATATTGCATATCTTTACTAAAAATTATTTCTTAAACTCTTGTCTCTGTAAACATATATGAGAGTACTGACTTGAATGGGTTCGTAGACTGCTTTAATTAGTTATCTTAAAGTCCTTTGTTAAGGTTCTCATGTGCATCAGGATAAATATTAAACTACTCAGTACATAAGACTTTCAACATCTGGCCACTATTCTGCTCTAAAATAAACCATCACCATTGCAAGCATTTTGCCAGCCACATATATCTACTTAAAGTTCTGCTATGATATCTTAATGCCTACTGCTGTTTCTGTCTACATTGATTTTTCACCATCTCTTCAGCTTGGAGGCAAATTCCTTTTTTTTTTTTTTTTCAAATTCCATTTGAAAATGACCTTAGTGAAAGGTCATTAAGTTCGAGGCTATTAAGGGAAAAAACAAAACACTGAACACTTCATTCATAATTGACATGCAACACAGCTACAATAAGTTGCCATTTTTATAATATTGCAGAGATTGAAACATTTGGTATACTATGTTAGCAAACTGAGAGGAGAGGGTACTGGTGGAAGCATAAGTGACAATTGAGAAGATTCTTCCAACTAAAAGTTGTTCTTTTGTTCAGCAGTTCTACCTCTTGATAGAATATTTTTTACAGATACTCATGTAGGAAGAAATGTATGTGCTAGTAGCATTATTACTATTAGCTACAGGAGAATAGTTTTATAAATTATGGTACATCCTTTCCCTGGAATATTCTCCAGTAATTAAAACATGAATGAGAAATCTCCTAATATGTTGTTATAGTAAGAACACTAGGGAGTATTATGAAATGTCAAATTCAAGAATAAAAGCACATATCATTTGTTTATTTTTTAAAATTATATTTGTGTATGAAATCTTTCAGTAAGGGTATAGTCAAAAATTAATATTGTTAACCTGGCATACTGGTACATGCTTGTAATCCCAACAGCTCCAGAGGCTGAGGCAGGCGGATTGCAAGTTCAAAGCCAGTCTCGGCAACTTAGCGAGACCCTAAGCAGCTCAGTGAGACCCTGTTCCTAATTAAATATAAAAAAGGGCTTGGGGTATGACTCAGTGGTTAAGTGCCCTTGGGTTCAATCCCCAGTACCAAATAATAATAATGATAATAATATTGTTATGGAGGTGGGGGAAACTGGTTAATGTTTAGCTGTAGGAGAGTGACTTCCCTTTATTTTTAAAATTTTTGTGAATAAGTAATTATATGTAAATAAATCAACAAAAAATTTAAAAATCTGCTTCAAATGTAATTTTCTTCCTGCCTCTCCCCCCAAACATACAACTCCTTTCAATTTGATTTTGAGTATTTAAATTCTGTACTCCCATTGCAGCTCCGTTACAGAATCTGTGAAGGCTGATTATTATTTTTCATTATTTTTGTCCTCCATTAGAAGTTCCTTGAATATAGATGGTTTATTATTGTTGTTTTATTTTTAAGTGTCCTGGTAGGACTTGGCATATACAGAGAATCATGTTTGTTGAAAAAAAAATGTGCATCTACTTCCCTCTTTACACAGATTCCCAAGCATTTACAATTTTATGTTATTCAGGTATTTAATTGTGTTTCCTAATAAGGATATTTTTTATTATCTTATGTTCCAGTATTATTTCTGCCTCTCCTAATAAAATTTCTAATAACATATTAGTGGAGATATTTCTTTAATAAAAATAATGGGCATGGCTTTAAATGTTGGTCTTCAGACAGGTGTCAGGCAGTAATATAAGAATTTTATAGGAGAGTTAGTAATATTAACTGTCACTACAATCTTTTTAGATGAAAAGAATCCCTTCTCACGCTCAGTATTTTGGAAAGTAAAGCAAGGGTACACTACATTAGATTTCATGAATTGTGAAGTATTAAATGTTCTCCTGTGTTTGGAAGACTGTGCTATGTGCAATTTATAGATCCATTCTTTGTGAATGGGTCTAAATGAAATAAAGGTCAAATTCAATGTGCAGTTAGAGAAATACTGACATAATATATGCAACTCTTTATATTGTATTAAAATTTGTTTTCTAATCTTGTTGATGATTGGAATATCTGCTTTCTACTGCTGCAATAGACTCAGTCCCTTGGAATATGTACTTTATTTTGTTTTGTTTCTTAGAGTGAGATTGTTGTTTTTTCTTCACAATTTCTCATGGTAGGTCATAAAGATTTATAAAAGCTTTCATAAACAAGTTCCTTAACTACAAGGCAGCAAAACATTATCTTTATAATATAAGCTTGTTTGATTCCAGTATATTTTTAAAACACATTTAGCCTGAGAAAACATCATATGACACCTGAAGATAATTCCGGTAGTAATCAGTTTTACATACAAATTGATCTGTTAGTTTTTGATCTTCCATTGAAAAAATCATGGACTTGTCTGTGAAATTTTCACTTACGAGTGATACTAACAAGAAGTAATCAGTCTTATTAAACCATAAGACTTAGAGTTGGTAGGAATTAATAAAAAGCCACACTATTATGACAACAACACAAGGTCCTCTTTTTCTGAGTGGTTTCTGAGAATTAACTTTTTTATTTGTCCTAGTCGATTTATTGAGGGCAAAGGAAATTTGAACTCTGAAAAGAAACACATTGAAATTTTTTGTTAAATTTCGTGGTATAAAGCTTTGATCATATTTGTAATTTCTAGGTTTTAATGATTATCTAATTCACTATAATCTCTTTAGACTTTTAATACAGGCAGGCTATGATGTTAATATTAAAGATTATGATGGCTGGACACCTCTTCATGCTGCAGCTCACTGGGGTAAAGAAGAAGCATGTCGAATTTTAGTGGACAATCTGTGTGATATGGAGATGGTCAACAAAGTGGTAGGCCTTTTAAATGTATTTTAACTATAGAAATAAAATTTTATTCTCAAAATGTTGTAAGACTGTAAAGTATATAATCATATTTTTACCATCTGTATTGCAGAATATTTTGCCCGACATTAGATTTATTAGTTAATGGTTTCAGTTTCCCAAATGAGGTGGTTCTGGCCTTGTTCTGTAAAGAAAGAAGGAAAACATATTATCATACATTTAGAGAACATTTGAGTACTTACATTAATTTTTAAGAATTATTAAGAATTGATAAATTAAGAAAATATTTTGCATTTCCTTATAAATGTTTTCTGCCATCACTGAGTTGGAACATGTATAAAAGATGTTTCTAATTCTCTTTAGCTGGTAGTCTCAATAGCCTGCTTATAGTGATTAAATGGTATGAATAGTGAAGTGAGAATAGTAAAAACCATAAAATTTTATTTCAGATAAGATTATTGTGATGCAATATTACAGATGAGAAAACGATTCAGTGAGGTAAATGATTTACTTAATATCATACAATTAGATGAAAGGAGGAAGCAAATATCATACAAATTATTTTTCACAAAATCATGAAAAGATTCACGTTACCAAATTCCTTGTTAGATTAGATTTTTACACTCTACCCCCTTTCAATACTATCAGTCAGTTTACCAATGTAACCAGTATTCTTGCTAGTCTCCACCCACTCCTTGTTGGTAGATAATTATCACTTAGCAACAGTAGGAGAGTTCAAAACATGTGTCCTGTAGTGAGCTTATAGCCATAATTTCATAAAATATTTCTTATATATTGCCTTTCATAGGGTAATATAGTGAAGTACTTACCAGAGGTGCATGAAATGTCGTCATCTTTATTCAAAACAGAGCCACCTAATTCTGTTGTGTCCATTAACCCATTGGTCCCAAGTCTTCAATTCTATGAATATTTGAATGAAATTGCCACAGATGCATTAAAATAGGTTGGGAATCTAGAGCTTATATATATTAATTATTATTATCAATTAATTTTATATTAATTACATACTTATATTTTACCTTGTTATATAATCGTAAGTTTTTCAGGTGTTTCACATCTGGGATAATGGGACAAAATGAGTTTATAATGGTGCAGGTGCTGGTTGCTCAGACAACTGCAGTTTCTAATGGGGAACCTGCAGTAGAAAGAGAGAGTGTGACATACCACATGTGTAAGATTTGTCCATGGGTAAATCATTGGAGATTGAGCTAGTAAGGCGGATTCCTGTCCTAGTTTCCAATAAAGAAGCCCTTGAAATTACTTTGCTACTTATTTTATGTAAGAAATGTGCAGGTAAGAAAATCATAGAAAGTAGTGAAAATCTTCAGGAGAGTCAAGGTAAAATTTTTTGAGAATGATTCATCTGAAAGTATATATTTGTACTTACATATAAATATATTTGATCTGGAATTTTGAATCAAAACTTTTTTGCTTTCTCTCATTTCTGTTATAATGGTTTTCTGTTTTGTGATCAGTGTTAGAAGACAAAGAAATGTTGATACAGTTAACTAAAAAGATGGCAATTTTAGCTTTATAATTCATGTTTCTTCTTTTTCCACGTTGAACTTTTCCTTAGAGTTAAGATTTATCTGAAGAAATTATTGGATACCTGTTACCCTTTGAACTCTGGTCTGCATTCTTTTCCTCTCTCAGTGACCATTTGTTAATGCAATACTGAGAATTGCTTCATTTAATAATAATTATGGCTTCCAGATAAGACTACAAGAGAGATACATAGTAATTGAAGTGGTTTTCCAAAAAGATTATATTACTTCCTGGTTTTTTTCCTACCTGAATTAGTATTCTAGTGAAACATACACAATATACAGTATGTATGACAAAAAATTGTTTTTCCATCCAGTCTGCAATTGTCTCTTTCCTAGGTACAATTCATAACTATACACTGGGAGGAAAAAAAAATTCACTTAAATTTTTTTTAATCCTTTTGTTTCTATATTACTATGATAGCAGCTCCTTATGTCACCCTAAATTTAATCTATTTTTTCATTCATCATTTCAGTGGATCTTTATATGATCTTGAGATAATCGTGACTTTTCTTAGAATTTTATAACATTCAAACTCTTCACATATATTATCTAATATTATCCTTTTAACAACCCTATAAAGTTGTTAAAGAGTTTTGCAGATTCAGGAATATCATTTTAATAAAATTAATTTTCCTAAATTCCTACTAATTGAGTAGTAGTCATATTTTTTTAATCTGCTAAGTTCCTCTAGGCTGTTTCCGTAGTTTAGTTTTTTCATATATTTTAATTTTAATCAAAATCCTTCTCTTTAAAATTAAGACTTTAAAGACATTTTAACCATGAGGAACTGAGTAATATATATAGCATACTAAAAGCCTTTGTGCCATAAATATGCTCAAATAAAACCCTTTATCTTTTTTCCTTCTCTTTTCTGAGAACTTCTGTAGCAATTTGTTTTTTGTTTCTCTTAGTTGTTTAATAATTATGTAACTTTGCCTCTGTTTTCATTGTCTTCATTTTAAATAATATGTCATACTTTATGTTTAAAGTACAGACAAATCACTTTGTATTAATTGCATTGTCTTAATTGTATAAGCCTATCTGTATGAATTTATCTTGTTATTTCATACCTTTATCAGTACTTGTAAATTCAAGATTTTTGCTTTGTTTCTTAAACTATCAAAGAAATGTACTTAAGGTACTATCAGAATTTAGATTGATTCATTAGTAATGGGAAACATGATTTGGAGAAATAATATACAGAAAATGCAACAAATTCTATAGAAAATCTTGACAGTCTACATGTAAGCAGGGAGAATGTTCTAAAAAGAAATATTGGAGATTTGTCTCACTTTTACTTATTTACAAACTGAAACACATTTGCTGTCATTTTAATTCATTATAAATTCAGTGATACTGATTTTAAATATAAAGAGATTTCCATTTTGCATTTTTCACTTCTTAAAATGATTGTTTTACTAGAATGTACCTAAATATTGTTCCTTCTTAAATATTAACTAGGATGCTTTGCTAGTTAGGATTTCTCCTAATGTATTAGTACAATGATTAGCAGGCATGTTTTTTAGCTTGATACCTGTAATTGTAAAGATTTGAATGAGTAACAGAGTTGTTTCTGCTACTGAGCACAGGTCTTTTTTTTAATTAAAACCCTAATTATATTGAGCTTCTTATTTTCTATAAAGATAAAATGGCATACTAGAGCACTGAAGGTCTAGCTTCTGTTCCCACTTTCCCTTCATTGCCTTTATAACCTTTGGCAAATATTCACTTGGAGGTTGAGTTTCCTCATCTGTTCAATAAGAATCATAATTATCCTTGTCCCAACTAGTTCACCTGTGGTTGTGAATATAAAAAGAGATCATATCTGCAAAGGCAACTCATTTAGAATAAATGAATAAAGAAAAAGATACTATGAAATTAGACTTAATGACTCTAGTGTGTCTATGGCTTTAGTAATTCGTAGTTTTTTTAATATTTATTTTTTAGTTTTAGGTGGACACAATATCTTTATTTTGTTTTTATGTGGAACTGAGAATCGAACCCAGTGCCTCACGCATGCTAGGCAAGCGCGCTACCACTTGAGACACATCCCCAGCCCCATAGTGTATTTTTTTAAGCTGCCTGTTTTTTTTTTTCCTTAAAGATTCATTGATATGATTAATTTATTATTTTCTCATACCTCAGCATCATGTCCTCAGTTGTTTTCTGGTATCTTTGAGTGACTCTCCTCACATAAAACTGTATACTGTGTTTGTACTCCATTAGTGAAGCCTGGTAGACTTCTAGTAGTTAAGAATCAAATACTGTTGATAATTTGTTAGCTCTGTAACCATCCTACAGATTGTTTAAAAAGCATGGTTAAGTTATTGAATTAAGTTGATGGGTATGCTTTTTAAAATAAGAAAATTTTGGTTATAGCCCATATTTTACTCTAGTTTTTATTCTTTATCAGTTGCTATTTGCATAGTAGACTCATTTATCATGGGAGAAAGTGAAAAGAAAGGTTTAGTAAGGTGACCTGATTTCTTATTCTTAATAAGGATAACCACATTGCATTTAACTGCTACAAAATTTAAAAGTATTTTTCAAGGTGAGGTATTTCGTTTAGGAGAACTGATAAATGCTTAAAACAATACTTTAAAAGTCAGTGAGTTACTTCCACATAACAACATGACCTTGAACACAATTTGCTTTAAAAGTATAGTACTTGTAACATATTAGAACTCATTATACAAAGAATATCATGTAGCAAAAAAAAAAAAAAATGAATTGCCAGTCTAAAGGGCACCTTATAATATTGAGCCAATTATTTTCATAGCAGTTTTTCTTCCGAAACTTAATTATTGGCTTTTAATACTGAAAGTTGAAATGGGAGGAAAGTTTATTAAAGCTAAAGCTTTTTTCTCATGGACTGGACAGAGATAGTTAGATTGCCTCTTATTAAATTCCTATTGGAGAATCTTTCTAGCAGGGAAAGTCAACAGTTCTTTGAAAAATTTTTCCCACAATGAATAAAAATAGATTTTAAAACTAAGAAAGATCTATGACTGCCTGGCCAAACATTAAGTAGTTTAGAAATATATATTATTTCTCTACCAAAATTTAAGTTTTAGGAAGGTATCAAAAAGAAAGAAGGTTAAACCTGAGTTCTCATTTGTTGCATTACTCTATTCCTATCAGTACAGCCAAGAAAGTGAAAACATGTCCACATAAAAACTTGTACATCACTGTTTGTAGCAGCATTATTTATTTTAAGCAAAAACAAATGTCTAACCAATGATTAAATTAGCAAAATGTGTACATCATGCAGTGAATTTTTATTTTTCAATAGGAAGTAGTGAAGTAGGTGCTGGGGTTATGGCTCAGCTGTAGAGCACTTGCCTAGCACAAATGAGGCCTTGGGCTTGATACTCAGCACCACATAATAAAAATTTTAAAAAATGTATTGTGTCCAACTACAACTAAAAAAAATAAATATTAAAAGAAAAGTGAAGTAGTAGCTATGTGTTGTGGCATACACCTATAATCCCAGTGACTCAACAGGCTGTGCAGGAGGATCACAAGTTCACTTGGTAATTTAGCAAGACCCTGTCTCAAAATAGAATAAAAAAAAGGAGTTGATGTAGTGATAACACACCATAAGATGGATGAACTTTGAAAACATGAAAAAGTGAAGAAGCCTTTTACAAAGACGATTCCATTCATATGAAATATCAACATAAGTAAATATGTAGAGACAAAGTAGATTAGTGGTTGACTTTAGCTGGGAGGGAACTGACCACTAAAGGATATTTTCTTTGCGGGGGGGGGGGGGGGGGGTCATGAAAATATTCCAAAATTTATTATGGTGATGGTTATACGACTCTGTGAATATACTTAAACAACACTGAATCATACACTTTAAATGAGTGATATGTATGTTGTATCTCAATAAAGCTAATAAAAAAAGAATAAGGTATTGTCAATAGCTTCTCACATGGATTTCTCATATATCTCCTTTGAATTATATTTATCATGTCATTTAAAACTACTGAAACATGTTTCTTAACTTCTTTCTGTATGGTTATAATTAATTTTTGAAGATGTTATATGATTTTATTGATTTTTAACCATCACTAACCCTCTCCCCTATTTTCTGCCTAGGGCCAGACAGCCTTTGATGTAGCAGATGAAGACATTTTAGGATATTTAGAAGAGTTACAAAAGAAACAAAATCTGGTATGTATCATGATTGCCTAAAAACTGCCTGTGTTAATAAGTTATCTTAATAGCTTCAAATTTCAAACAGTTAAAAATTGTTCTTGTGGTGTTTTCTATGTTTTGATTTTAAGTTATTCCTAGCAGTCAAACTAAATGGCAGTGAAAGAATAAAGGGATAGTGATGATATTTTAGCCTTTTGTGTTATTTATTATTTCTATTTCCTTCCCTCCCTTCACAAAACGAATATTTAAATAATCTGTATATTCTCAAGAATAATTTGTTTTGTAATTTCATAAGAAAGTTTTCTCAGATTGTAAAATCTCAGTTTTCAAGTGGGCCTTAGAAAACCAGTTGCATCATCAGAAAACAGATTTTTAAGTAAAATGCCATTAGCTATCCCAAGTGGTTAGTAGACCTTGACTTTTTCAGTAAACTGAAGTTGGAGGGATCTAAAAAATTCAACTTCATCCTGTTTAGAGCTGTTTAATTCTCTAGTCTTTTTCATTCTTTCTTTATTCAAGCCCTCTCCACTGTAGGTAACACTTAAACTTTTGATTTACTTGTTTGTTTGTTTAGTGTTTTTTAAATTGCTATGTTAATATTTTAAAATCTGTGTTTTACTAATTAAAATGATTTTAATAATATTCGTTTTTTCCTTTGAATAATTTTGTATAAAGCTCCATAGTGAAAAACGGGATAAGAAATCTCCACTAATAGAATCAACAGCAAATATGGAAAACAATCAGTCACAGAAGACTTTTAAAAAGTAAGTAAAGTATTAAAAGCATATTTTTTTATTGTTAGGAATGAGTTAGCATAATGGCCACAAACATAATTATTGTGGGTCTGAGGAAAACTAGTATTTTAACCTTTTGTGTTCATAATGATTTGAGGACTATTTTCCTTTTACAGCAAAGAGACTTTGATTATTGAGCCAGAGAAAAATGCATCCCGTATTGAATCTCTGGAACAGGAAAAGGTTGATGAAGAAGAAGAAGGAAAGAAAGATGAATCTAGTTGTTCCAGTGAAGAAGATGAAGAAGATGACTCAGAATCAGAAGCTGAAACAGGTAAAATTTGAAGGATAAATGAATTTTTTAAAAATTTTGTTGCATTATAAAGTGAGACAAAATGGATTTCCCTGCCAAGCCAGTAAATTATCTTTCAGTATTAGAAAATTATGTATACTAGTGAGTTTATTGTTTATTCTCTTAATTATTTGGAGACTCTTGTTTCCCTCTTCAATTTACTGACCTGTATTTTAGATTTGTAGAAAGTGCAGAGGCTTCTCAGATTCCCCTAGAATGGCACAGATAGTGAGTACAAAGGAGTCCTCAGCAATTCAAGAATGTACCTGCTGCTTTCTGAAACCTATAAACCCAGGAAGCTAGTCCCAGCAGTATCCCAAATTCTCATGGTAGAAAGGGACTGAATTAAGATACTTTCCCATGAGGACATGGGAAAATTTGCTTTGAGAAATTTTAAAGATAGCTATAGGCATGTAGTTATATTTATATTTCTTTTAATAAAATTAAAACTTTATAGTTGTCTTTTTTTAACCACCTACCTTAGTCTGCTTCCCTTTTCTTCCTTCCCAAAGGCATCCATTACCATGAGTTTTTCCTATAATCCTCAAGTCCATGTTTATGCTCTTATATATATGCTCATAATTACTATACATAGGAACTATAATATTATTTGTGCTTGTTTTCATACTGTAGGAATTGTGATGCCTCTTGATTTTCTTTTCATCAAGTGTTAAGATGTGTCCATAAATCTTTATCTATAACTTCTTATATATAATTTATTCCTTTAGCTGTTGAATGATACTCCATGAAATATATTCATTTTCTTTCTGGTGAACATTAACTTTATTCTGTCTTTTGTTTCAAATAATGCTATATGGGCTGGGGTTGTGGCTCAGCGGTAGAGCACTCGCCTAGCACATGCGAGGCCCTGGGTTCGATCCTGAGCACCACATAAAAATAAATAAAATAAAGGTATTAAAAATAGTTTTCACCAGCTTTATTTTAAAAAAAAAATAATGCTTTAGTGATCATGCTTCCCATGTATATTTGCATAATATTTTCTAATAGACTTAGAAATTGAACTGTTTGGTCACAGGATATATACATTTTCAGTTTTCGTAGATGCTCCCAAATTGTTTTATAAAACTACTAGAATAATTTATATTTCTTTCCTTTTTACTATTAAGTATATGGTTTCTTTTTCCTTGACCTACTTGTTTTTACAGTTTTGTTTGCCAGATTCCTTTATTTACACTTTTTTTCTCAATCTGTATCATCAGTTAATTGCTCAAAACTTCTGAATGGTGTGATATCAATGTTTTCATCTTTGAATTACATAATGCAGCATTTAACATAAATTAATCAGAAGAAAACATTCCCCTTCGGGGGATATAGTTACTTTTATTTTTTTGGTGCCAGGGATTGAACTCAGGGGGACTTAAACCCTGAACCACATCCCCAACCCTTTTTTGTATTTATTTAGAGATAGAGTCTTATTGAGTTGCTTGGGGCCTTGCTAAGGTGCTGAGTCTGGCTGGAACTTTGAATCCTCCTGCCGCAGTCTCCCAGCCCCTGGGATTATAGGCAGGCAGTACCATACCCGGCCTAATAATAAACTATAAGAGCCAGTTTGGTAGTCATTGGTAAACACAAATGAAACTCTACAATTTCTTGAAATTCCTATATTCCCTCTAGACACAACAGCAACATTTTCAAATCATTTTATTTTTAATCACTCAGCAAAATATTTTTCCTAAGGTTTCCTAAATGTAAAACATGTACAAAAAATGCCAAAATTGTTTTTAAAGATCATGTTAGGTGGCTAGATTCTAATCACTGAGAGATTTAAATTTTTCCTCATTGCTGTCATATTATTTGGTCACATAACAACATATCTTTTGTCCTAGTGAGATGATCGTGTAGGGAATATTGGAAACTAGCACAATTGCTAATTACCGAATGTTGTTATATGTTTGTATAACATAGTAATTAAATATTCCTAAGTATAAAGGCAAATTATATGAAAAGTAGCATGCATAGTGTTTAAGTACATGGACTGGTTCATGTAGATAATTGTATGTGTGGATAATTTATTTAATCTCAGATTTCTTATCAGAATAATAACTACCTTCCATGGATACAATGGATGCAGTCAATTGCATTTGTAATAAGGGTTAACTTTCATATAATAATTGTATAAAACTATGATCATTAAATTTGATCAATATACATAGTTATCTAATATCACTTTGTTTAAATTTGTACTGTTTCTTTTATTCATTTTACAAAACCTGAAAGATAAAATGATGTTATTGGCCCAGATATTTTTTCAACTATTTAATGTTATTTTTATGTACTTAGTCCCCTCTCTGAGTACTAAGTCTATAGTAAAGTATATCATTACAAATCAAACTACATGCACATGTACCCAAGGAAGTCAGGAGTAACTAACATCCAGATCTCTGAATAACTCATGGTCAAGTTTTTTTGGTCTTGTTTTTTTTTTTTTTTTCCTATTTATGTGGTAGAATTCAAGAATTGGAAGTCTTGTCATTTCTTCTAGAGATTTCTGATTTTTATCTTTCTCTTAATATAGGTCCTTTTAATACAATTCATTGTTCATTGTTAGGCATTGAGGAGCTGTTTAAAACAAACAAAACACTTCAATCTTAGGCCAGTTTTGTCACTAACTAGTAAATCTCCTTATCTCTTTTGCTTGAAATTTCCTTGATTGTAAAATAAGAATTGGACTATATGATCTGTATGGTTCTTTAAATGTAAATAATTCTATAAATATATCAGATTACTTTGAATTTTTTCCCATTTGAAATTAAGCGTATCAGTCACCCTCTGCTCAATTTCTCACTGAGCTAACTTTAAATGTTCCTCTATAGCATTGTACTATGAGAATTTTGTTCTTCCTATTGCTGTAGTGCTGGGTTGTGCCAGGAAAATTTGACTTGTGTCTGAAGAATTAATTCATGTAATCTCTGTGTGGTTTCATGTCTCTCACTCTTTTAGTATCAACCAGGATTTATCATACTTAATTTAGCAAACTTGAGAAAGCTGACTTTTCCCTATAGACCTACAGCTTGATTTGACAATTTCTAAACTATTTCTTTTTTCTATTTTATGTGAGGTTATTTTCCTTGCTGTAAAGTAACTTTTGCTGACTATTTCTTTGATAAATTCTTAATCTAGCCAGTTTTTCTTTAGTGTTCGTTCTTTTATCATAAACCAGGTGAAAATAGGAACTCAGTCAAAAGTTTTCATTGCCTTCCAAATGATTTATAAACTGGACATGTAATTGAGAGAATTAAGAAATGAGTATTATGTTTTTTCTTTTAGGATGTTTTTCCTCAAGGAATTAAAATTTCCCTTCTTAGCTGAACCAAGTAGAAGAACTTAATGTTTCTAATAATGTGGTAGTATACATGAGTTTATCTTACTTACTATTTCTCCTACTAGACTGTAAGTTTCATGCGGTTAAAATATTTTGTCTTTTTGTTGACTGATAGTTCTCTAGTATCAAAGACACAGTATTTTAAGTATAAAGACAATAAATACTTGTTGAATGATGCTTCTACCTGGTTAGGTGGATTGTTTTCTAAGAAGATAGTATGGTGCCCATTTAAATATTTTAGAAGTAAGAAAACATGCTCTTTGGGACATTTAAACATACTATTTTACAGGTATATAAGCTGATTATTGAGAGAGCACTTTTAGATTTCCTGAAATAAAGAAGAGCAGTAAATTTTAGATCATCAGTGAAAATCCATTAGAAAATTACATCAGGTTCTGATTGTGCCTCTTATTCTCAAAGCTTTATTTTGTTTCTTTTATGTTATCCTAACAATTTACTTCAGCCTACAGAGACATTTCTGCAAATATCTTAAAAAGCCACTTGTAAAAAATCAGTACTAGGAAAAGACAGCCATTGAAGCTGAATTTCTATAGAATCTTGATTCTTACATTTTTTTTTAATAGATAAGACAAAACCTGTGACTTCTGTAACTACTGCCAACACTTCTAGTACACAAGCAGCTCCTATAGCTGTTACAACACCTACTCTGTCATCAAGTCAGGCAACACCCACATCACCTATTAAAAAGGTAAGCCAAAATTGTTTTTTAAAAATACATGTTTTCTATTTAAGCACCACTTGGACTAACTCATTAAAACAGTCCTAAATTTTTAGTTGTTTTTCCTAGAAAGTATATTATACTTTTCTGGTTTTTAGTTTGAGATTTCTTCTGAACCATATTATAGTCTTTTTTAAAATCCTTTTTGCATTCAGTATTACAGTTGGTAGTTAACATATACAATTGATAGTTAAAGTAAATAGCAGGAAGATTAAAATTTTCATAATATTGAAACAAATGATCATCACAGTTTTTATTTCTCATTTTTTGGTAAGAATTTCAGGTTTTATATCCTTTATGTATGCTAAATATAGTGTAGATATTAATAATTTCACATGTGGGTCAGTTAGCCACAAAAAGTTTAAAGGCACAAGTCAATGAGAGCTAGAATCTAGATTTTTTTTTTAACTCTTTATAGTATTGTAAACACTAGGCATGCCACTATGGTATGACAATAAGAGCATGATCTCTGTGATCAGACATACCAGAGATCAGTGCCACCTCTTGTTACGACCTTGTATGAGTTATCTTCCTTATCTGTTATAAGACATAATAAAGAGAAGTAAAGTTAATATTATAAGGATTGGTTGAGACAATGAGCTTGATTACTGATTAAGTGTTCTCCCAAAATGTTAATTTTATTTCTTCTTTTTCTCTCTGCCTCTGTTCTACACCAAAGCAGTTTTCCAATTGGAGTGTTACTCTTTTTGAAGACTTGCCTTTTCATTTCTACTCTAGAACCTGTCCTTTTAACCCAAATTAAAGAGTAGGTTTCTTTCTTGTTGCTGTTTCATTTTAACCTGTTTGTGTCTTTATAAAGATTTCTCCTCATCAACTCCTGCTTATCTTTAATGAGTATACTCTCTGTACACAGAAATTTTCCCCCTACAAAACATTTAACAGTTGAGTGTAGTTATAATAAAACTACATCCCTGAATGTCAGTATCTCCTAAATATGAAGGCATTTTCCTTCATTCCTACAGAGGAAATTTTAACTTTGATACAGGACTGTTATTTTAACTAATATATATATACTCAGATTTTTTTCTTTTGTGCTTTTTTTTCAAATTGAGCATTCACTCAAGGATTGCACATTGTGTTCAATTGATATATCTCTGTCTTTAGAATTCTTACTTTGTTGCTTATCTGACAATATTTGGGCTGCATGGATTTGAGAACCTATTTCAAATACCCACTGTGTTTCTATTATGTTGTCAGTCTTATTTAGGGTGCTAAAAATATAGATCTTTTTTGTAATCATAAACTAGAAAATTTTTCTAAAAGCCTGTACTGTTAGTAATAATTCTCCTCTAAAACTTTTCCCAAGTAAAACAATAACATAAATTCATAGTGGTAGAAATGTATGGATTTCACTGGTATAGTTCAAATGTCATATATGGTTGACTTTCTATATTCCAGAACTGAGGGCTTCTTGAGCCTATGTCATATGATCTTAATTATGTATGCTTTAATATGAAATTCTCTAAAATTAATTTTTCTGTAGAATTTTAAAAACTGTTGTTATAAGTAGTATCACTAAAGTTCAGTTGAACTGAAGTTTAATTTATTTCTGGAACCCCCATGTATTTCTTCAGTGAATACTAAAATTGTTCCTGCACCCTTTCGTTCTTTTGATTTATTGTCTGTTAGGACCATGGGATCATCACAAGTTCCCAGAAGCTCCAATCCTTTGAGTGTATCTGTCTCTTTTTCTCTTGGTTTCTCTTGGTATTTGGTTAAACAGTCCCTCTCCTCCTATAGTCCAGTGCTTAAATAGTCTTCTTGTGTTCAGTTTTCTTTTTCTCAAACAGAACCCTAGATTTATGTCAATTAATTTTTCAATTTATACCTGACACCCTAACTGAAAGTATATACTTGATACCTGTGTTAACTTAGTGTACCAGTATTTTTGCTATAAAAGTTCTTACTCAAAATCACTTTTGATTCTATAATCTAATTGATTTAATAACAAACACCTGCTTCTATTTACTTGCCCATTTAGAAATTCCATTTAATTCTGAATTTTAAGCATCATAATTTACTTTGAAGATCATATCATTTCAGTCTTTGTTCTTGGAGTTTTGTAACCACGTTTTATTCAAAGCAGTAAAACTTTGTACTAAAAATTTGAATTATTTTTATGGGTGGGGGAGTCTTATCCGTATTACATGACTTCTAAAATTTGTTCTTATACTTAATGATACTCATATTCTTTTATTTACTTTTATTTAGCATTTTAGTGTTAGGGTTTTTTTCAAGATTTTACATATAACTTGAGAGACCTTAACAGATACGAATTTTTTAAATGAATTGTTAATTTGTAAATGCATCTTAAAAGATTTTGCTTTTAAGGGTTCTAATTTGTACATTTCCAGTCACTGCTCTGCTTTTAACATTAACACAAAATTATGTTAACTTTTTCGCTTCCTCCACTAGTGCCTACTGTATGAAACTATATATATTTATATGTGTGTGCTCATGGAAAGGAATAGATCACAAAAAAGGGAAGCATACAAAATATTTTAAATGCTGCTTATTTTTTATTAAGGCAGGGTAACTTTAACAACAACAAAAAAAAAAAAACAGAACTATTCACTTTAAATTATCCTTCTTTAAGTTCTTAAATGTTGAGCTAAAATTAAAGAATTATTTCTGTACCAGGCAGATAATTTGTGGAGATGTTATATATAAAACTATCAGTTTGATTTTATGCTTTAAGTTGTTAACTAACAATAAGACTGTATTACTCTCTATAGTCAAAATAAGCATTATAGTTACCTTTGGAACAGATTACCTACTGTGTTGTATGGGTATATAGTCCAAAGAAGTGTAAATCATATTTTCTTTACTGGGTGGCAAAAATTCTTGGAATTTTGTGTTCTAGTTAATCAAATCCAATATTAAAAGCATAATAATAATAATTTGATAAAAGACAAGTCTCTGCTGTGGGTACATGAAATATGTCAATAAAAAAGGACAAATGCAACATAATGGTATGATAGTATAAAAATTACATTTGATTTAAAGTAATGGGAACAGAACATTTGTGATAGATCTTGAATGATGAGTAGGTAGTACTTTAAGAGAGATGAGTTTGTATAAAAGGAGAGATGAAAAATAATATGAGCAAGTAGAGATAATATTTGGTAGGAAAAATGAATTGTTCAGTTTGATTAGTTATAGAGTACATATATGCACAGTAAAGCAAGAAAAGTAGAGCCAAATTATGGAATATCTGATTCACTTCTATGGTTATACTTTTAGAATTTATTTGATGATAGAGTATCACAGAAAATGTGTGAACAGTGCCATGAGAAAATTATTCTTTCTTTCTTTTTTTTTTTTTTGTACCAAGGATCGAACCCGGAAATGCTTAACCACTGAGCCACATCCCCAGCCCTTTTTGTATTTAGAGACAGGGTCTTGCTGAATTGCTTAGGGCCTTGCTAAATTGTTCAGGCTGGCTTGAACTCAGGATCCTCCTGCCTCAGCCTCCGGAGCTGCTGAGATTACAAGTATGCACCATTGTGCCCAGCAGAAAATTATTCTTTCATAATATTCATTCTGGCAGAGACTGATTAAGGAAAGATTTATCAGAAAATCATTGAAGTTACCCACAGTGATAAGAGTGTAAACTAGGGAAGTGGGTGTGTGCTTAAAAAGGAAAGGGGATTTGGAAACTTGGCACCTAACTTATGAATGGAAGGAGATGAGAACGAAGTCTAACATGATTGTGGGAATTGAACAAATAACATTGGTGCCTTTACTAGAAATAGAAAATGAGTTAAGAGTTGTTTTGGAAGCAAAAGTATTTGACTTTAGATATGTTCAGTTTCAAGTTCCAAATATAGTTCTAGTTAGGTAGCTCTACAGGTAAATAAAATGTCAGGACTGGGAATTTAGGAGTTAGAGTGAACTGGAAAATAACAGTTAAATTTGAGAATAATCTGAATAAAAGTAATATTTAACCTGAAGAAGTAGAAAAGATTTTGCTCTCATCTCTCAGCAGAAGAAAATATAAGGCAAAATGAGAGATCTGAGAGCAGACATTTAAGATACTTATCTTGCAGTACTAGGAAAGGAACATTGCTAATTAAAAAATAAAAAATAAAGGGGAGAGGGATCTAAGAAAAGGATAAGTGGTCACCACAATAGGAAAATGGTCTTGTTATAAGACCAGGAAGAAAGAATTGATTGTTCATTATTTCAGAAAGATTTATGCACTAAGTAAAATTGTGGAAAATAATTTTAAACATAGAAACCAGTACCTAAATCCAAATTTATGTCAGGCAGAATAGAGGTATATCAGTCATTACAGTGCAACAAGTGCCCATTTCGAAATAGATATTACTTCCTCAGTTGTCTCAACTCTGAAATAGGTTTGGGCCAAATACTAGTAAACATTTTGTTAAATGTTAGCTTCTGTTATAACAAAGCAAATGTTATCTCCTGTCTGTCTGCAGGAGAAACATTTGTTTTTGGTTTTGGTGGGGAAGATGGGTTCTCAAGCAGGGGCTGATAAACTATAACTGGTGGGCCCACTAGTATATTTTTGTATAATCCACAATTAAGAATGGTTTTAACATGTAGAAATGATTGAGAAAAAATAAAAGACTATTTTGGACATCAAGTCAGATTCTATTGTCCCTAAATAAAAATTTTTTTGGAGCATAGCCACACTGTTTTATTTATATATTATCTGTGGTCTGCAAAACCTAAAATGTATACTCTTGTCTCAGTACCTATGTTACTGCATAGAATATTTCTTGGTCAACTGAGTCCCTGGTATTTTGCACTCCTCCCCCACCAGGTGTACTTGGCCAAAGAAATACTTGTTTCATTTATTAAATAGTCAGGTGCAAATAAATTAATGATGGCTTTTGTACAATGTCCAAGAGATGTCACTGTACTTCTCTCAAAACTTTAAAATATCCCACACTCTGGACTCTGCTGTGTTTTGATACAAATTGATTAATTGAAGTACTAAAGGTATCTTATGAGAATTTTGTCTGTGAAGTGGGAACTTTAACATGCTCTGTTAATACGCTGACTATAGCAGTCTTTGAAAATAAATATAAAAGAAAGGTCTTAAAAAGAAAAACAATACTTTCTGCTTGTAGCAAGTAGATACTTGTGTGTTCACTTTTTTATATTTAACTGTAGTTGAACACTTAAATTCTGGAACTGAAAATTGATGAAGTGAACTATTTGAAGTGAATAATGTTGCATTTTTAGGAAAAATTGCAATTATTGGAAAGCCTTAAGGAGTGGAGTAATTATTTGTACATTTAAAAAATAGTTGAAATGTTTAATGTTTGGTGAGAAAATCAAACAGTAAATTTGAAGTTGTGACATTTTCGATATTATTGAATTAAATGTTATACTTAGAAAATATCAGTTATTAGATTTCATTTAAATTTTAACCAGAATATAAAAATGGGTAAAACAATTCTTATGCAGTAGTTTGTTCACTCAGATACTATTATATTATCTACTGTATGTGCCTTCAACTGCTTTAGAGGTTTTTTAATTGATTTCATTCAGATCATCTTTGTGCTAAAACCAGAATTTATTCCCAGTGATTTTTCAAAAATTGGGTCATTACTGAATTATTGAGTTTTGATCTATTATAAATTTCTTTTAAAAAGGAAAAAAAAAGTATATTTTGCTCATAACTTCCTTTTTTGTTTTCATGCTTTCAATCTTTATCTCTTTACCTGTCTCATTTTAATTGGCTTTAGTATGATTTCATTGCTCCTATCATGCCTGTGGTGGAATCAATAGATCCTGCATCATGGAGGCAGGGCTTGCGCAAAACTGGCATTGTTCTTGTGCCCAATAAGGGTGAAAAATCTATGGTGAGGCATTTCTATGTGCAAGAATTTATATTAGGATTCAATATAACAAGTTTAATACAAATACTGGTTCCAAAGATGCATGGTTTTAAGTCCTTATGGTGTGCTCATTTTTGTTTTTTGTATCTGCATCATAAATTTTCTGCGTGATATAAAGTTTGTAGTGTTTTCTCTAATCTAACCTCTGTAAAGGTAGTCTGTTCCTCTTTCAGTTTTAGATTTTTACTTTTTTAACTAAGATATTAACCTATCTAGTAAAATTGTTTTCTCAAACTATTAACTATAATTTTAGACATTATCTGAAAACTTAATCATTTCCAAATTCAGGACTAATCAGTTTGGATATTTTTTTTTTTCTTAATAAAAACAGTTTCCAACTTCAACTACAAAAATTTCTCCCAAAGAAGAAGAGAGAAAAGATGAATCTCCTGCATCTTGGAGGTTAGGACTTAGAAAGACTGGCAGTTATGGTGCACTTGCTGAAATCACAGCATCTAAAGAGACTCAGAAAGAAAAAGACACTGCAGGTGTTATACGTTCAGCTTCAAGTCCCAGACTTTCCTCCTCTTTGGATAATAAAGAAAAGGTAATCTGTTTCACATTCTGGGGTTTCTATAAAACTCTTTAATAATTTATTTTCTAGAAACATCAAATCTGATAGGTTTTCTACTAGATATCTTTAAATCCTAGATCTCAAGTTAATTCACCAGACTTAATTATATGCTACAAAATGTACCACCTTGAATAAATATATGTGTGGACTTATAAGTACTGAGAAGATCACATGTATTTGCTCAAAATATAAATTTTAGGATTATTACTAACTTAAGTTTAAAAAATCTTTAAAGAGAAAAAGAAAGAAAAAGGGGGATCCCATGAAAGTAGAAGAAATTAGTGGAGTAGAGAAAGAGGGTTGAAGCAGAAGGAGGAAGGATAGGAAAAGGCAAGAGCAGTGGAATGAACCTGACCAAACTTTCCTCTGTACATATATGAATATACTTCACAGTGAATCTCACCTGTATGTATATTTACAAGACGCTAATTTTTAAAAACACTATAAATAAAAGAAAGATCAGTAGAATTAAAGAAAAAGAATAAGGAAGGAGTAAGAAAGGGAAAGGGGAAATACTGGGGACTGAATTAGAACAAATTTTATTCCAGGCTTGTATAATTATTTCAAAATGAACCCCAATGTTATTTATAACTAAACTGAACTAATAAAAATAAAACCATGTGGCATATTTCAAAACATTTGGAGAAAATCCTTCACCCTACATTTTATAATAGAATATATTAAGGAATAAGTTTATTATTTATTATGATTTCACAAGTTTTCCAAAGCTTAGGGACACATTTTTTTTTCCGAATGTGATTCTACACATATTCATCCAGTATCTACAGTTTCTTTACCAGCTTTTTGGTTTGATACATTACAAGCAACTTTGTCTTAATAAGTACTTTTATTTACACTTGAAAGGCAGTATTAATTTGGAATCAAACAGATATGTCTTTTTATTCAGTGCCATTGTATAATAATTAGATTGTTTATATTCTGTGCTTGTACTCCATATATGTAGTTTTCATGTTTCCTTGTTATCAGAAATATAGAGATAAAATTTTTCCTCAGTTAATTTAATATTTTTTGCTTTTTATAAATTTATTGCCTAATTGTTTTTCAGGATTGTATGTCAGTAAACCCATCATTGTCACTACACACAGCCATATTTGGATAAACATAATTTAGATTGTTTTGAATATTTTAATGTATTATTAAGGTATAGACTCACAAGGTTATGGATAGCTTATATAACAAATGATAGGAATTATCAGTGAACCATATTTCAGACATTATTTGAGACAATCTAAGAGAAGCAGAGTGTTTTAGCTTGCAGTACTACATTATTTTAATGTCAGAAGTTTTATCAAAAATCCTTAAGAAGTAAAAGAAATTTGCTTTCTTATGTTTTTTTCTAATTCTAGATTTAAGGAGAATGAAGAAAATTAGTTCAACAGGCCATATTTCAGTGCTTATGTAGTACTTGATTTTTATTTATTTATTTTTGTACTAGGGTTGAATTCAGGGACACTTTACCACTACACTACATCCCTAGTCCTTTTATTTTTTATTTTGAAAGTCTCACTAAGTGGCTGAGAGTCTCCCTGAGTGGCTGAGACTGGCCTCAAACTTGATCTTCCCACCTCAGTCTCTAGGACTGGGATTACAGGTACATGCCACCATATCCATCAGTGCCTGATTATTGATATGTGTCAGTTTTAGAGCTTACCTAAGAAATATGGAAATACTATAAATTGTGATAGCCTGTAATTATGCATTGTTGAATAACTGTTTCTTAATATTTTTAGCAATGACTGTTTTCAGCACACAAAATTATTTTCATTCGGTTTTTTTTTTTTCCTATTGTGCAGGAGAGAGAGAGTAAAGGAGCAAGGCTTGCATATGTTGCACCTACTATACCAAGACGTCTAGCTAGCACATCTGACATTGAAGAGAAAGAAAACAGGTAAGTTTATTATGATTTGCTTTATGCCTTTACTTTAAATCTTTGTTATCTAGCATCAAAATTAATACGTAAGTTTTGTATTTATGTCAGTATGGAATCTGGAAGAGATAGGGGATGTTCCTGATAGAACACCAGGTACATGGTCTTGGGAGTTCAGGCTTAGTACATTTGTACAGTAGCAAAGAAGGCCATATGGCTGGAACAGAGTACAGGGAAAGTAGCAGCACAAATTCTCTAAACATTTCAAACATTTGGAAAGGGGGAAAGAAGAGAGGAAAAGCTCAATCAGTTTCAGTATTTTCCTTGGTTCCTTCCTATTTTCAGCACATTTTAGAGTTTGTGAACTTTTTAATATAGTTGTAATCACGTTATAATATCCATTTGTGTGCCTGGGTATTTTTTTCACCTAGCATCTCATAATCAATCTTAACATGTTAGTATATGTTCTCAAAAAATATTATTTTTCATCAGTGAATTATGCCATAGAATAGATCTCCTGCTATGGGCATATAGTCTAATATTTTGTGATCACAAATAATATTTCTGTAAATATCTTAATTTTTCCCCATATTTAGGATTATACCATGGGAATAGAATAATTACTCTCACTTATTGGTAAATGTACCAAAGTATTTTCCCATGGGATTCTATTAGTTTCTGCTTCTACTAGTATTTATTATTAGTGTGCAACTTTTTAAATCTTGTTTTAAAATCATCAGAATCTGAAGGGTATTCTCTTTACAGAGACTCTTTGAGTTTGCGAACAAGTAGCTCTTATACAAGAAGAAAATGGGAAGATGATCTTAAAAAAAACAGCTCAATTAATGAAGGATCAACTTATCATAAAAGGTAATAATGGAATTCTTAGATGGTTTTTATGTATTCTTTTATAAAAATATTAGGCAGTTTGTTTCAAGCCCTCAGTTTAATATCAGTTAAGCATTAGGTACTTTGATTAAATATTATATCTTTTCTCATATACGTAAAACTTGATTTAAAGGCAGTAATGTATTTAAAGATGGGTGGTTTTATTTTTACTTATGCCTTTCTATGATATATTTAAACTTGATATATTATGAAGCATTTTTCATAGGAATTTATTATATAAATAAGTAGAGCAACTGAAATAGGTCAATGTCTCTATTTAAGATCTGGTCATCATTCAGTGGAATATTAGTATTATCATCTTGAAGAAGAAAATAAACCCTGTAAATTAATTGTCTGCTAAAAACAACTGAAAAGAGTAAGAAATGAACAAGTATAATGGAGGCATGGGTCTCTCCTAGGTATCTGAACCATAGCCAGAAAAATTTCCTTGTGGGGCATGGTATCATACACCTGTAATCCCAGCCACTCAGGATTGAAGCAGGACCATTGAGAATTTGAGGCCAGCATGGGTAACTTAGCAAGATCCTGTCTCAAAAAATGTTTTAGAAGGACTGGAGATGTAATTCAGTAGTAGAGTGCTTGTTGAGCATGTACAATACCCTGGGTTCAATCCTCGGTACCACAAAAGAACAAAAATAAGTGGTTTTTCTTTCCTTCTTTTTTTTTCCTAAAAAGTAAAATGTTTTGCTTTTCCCTGGATAAAACCACACCAGTGCATTTCCTTCCTTCCTTCCTTCCTTCCTTCCTTCCTTCCTTCCTTCCTTCCTTCCTTCCTTCCTTCCTTCCTTCCTCCTTCCTTCCTTCCTCTCTCTTTCTTTCTCTCTCTCTCTCTCTCTCTCTCTCTCTCTCTTTCTTAGTTGTAGATGTACAGCATGCCTTTATTTTATTTGTTTATTTTTATGTAGTGCTGAGGATCGAACCCAGGGCCTCTCACATGCTAGCAAGGGCTCTACTGCTGAGCCACAACCCCAGCCCTACCAGTGCATTTTCTTAGGACCCATCTGGTATGACCATAAGATCTTGAATATTCCAGAAGTATGAAATATCAAATCAGATTATCTTTGGGTTTTTTCAAAGGAGTTGGAAGCAGGCAGTAAAATGATACACTACTTAATTAGTGAAATCATCTAAACTCTAGCAAGTTGTAGATGCAACTCTTGGTGCTGGAGCTGGTGGTATATTTAGGAACACAGTTTCTTAGATATTTCCTGGTCTTGTGAATTTGTATAATGTATTAGACATTAAATATAGAACACACATTCAGACACATCCTATATAGATATGACTCTTTCCTTTAGTTGCTCCTTTGGTAGAAGACAAGATGATTTGATTAGTTCTAGTGTTCCAAGCACCACATCAACACCAACAGTTACCTCTGCAGCTGGGCTTCAGAAAAGCCTGCTTTCCAGCACAAGCACTACTACAAAGATTACAACGGGTTCTTCCTCAGCAGGCACACAAAGCAGGTAAGTTACAGATACATTTTATGTTCAGGTCTACTGTGTGCTTATGTATGTGCATGCATATTTGTTTAGAAGATTGTGGGGCTCTGGATTTTTTTCATTTATCTTACTAAATTTATTTCCAAACAAAAATTGATTCCAAAAAGAAGCAATTATGCATGTTTGGGGAAAACAGAATAAGTTCCTGAATTAGATTGTTTAAAATGTAAATTTCTCTCTTTGACATCTCAGGGTGAGCTTTTTGGTTCATAGTTGAAAGATGTCTCACCTTGTGTTTTTAAAAAATCCATCCCTGTAGTCACATGTGTTCAGCTGCTAGAAAGTGCTTTCATTGTTTAGCTGTTTTCCTTTTCTCTTTTTGTGTTGCTGCTTATGATGCTATAGTACCTCAAATCGTTTGTGGGCTGATGATAGTACTGAAAAAGAAAAGGACAGTGTTCCTACGGCAGTGACCATTCCTGTTGCTCCAACTGTTGTAAATGCTGCAGCTTCTACCACAACCCTGACTACAACTACTGCTGGCACTGTCTCCTCCACATCAGAGGTCAGGGAGAGACGCAGGTGTGTAAAGGTCCTAACACTACTGCTGATATGTTTGCTTGGTGATGAAAGTTGGTTTTGTTTTTTGTTTTTTAAATTTTGGGAAGTTGACGACCATCTCTCCAATAGACTATTAAATGAAATACTCTTATGTCAGCTTGAAACTATTTAAATTGAAATAACTAGCAATTATTAGTATTTAGATCTAGTAATCCACCTCTGAGAGAATTAATGTTTTTGTTTAAAGGCAGTAAGCCTCATAGTTGTCTTCTTACTTATTTTTCACATTATTTCTTCCTGTTATTTAGAAATTTGATGAATGTTAAGCTCTTTTGAAATTTTCATCTTAAAATTCTTTTTTGGGTGTACCCATCCAGTGGTAGAGTGCTTGCCTAGCATGCACAAGGCCCTGGGTTCCATCTCTAACACCACCAAAAAAAAAAAAAATATATATATATATATATATATATATATATATATACACACACACACACACACACACACACATATGTATGTATAAAATGTATAAATATATATATTCTTTTGGTGATGGAAGGGCTCTTTTTATAGGTATAAGCCAAATAATTTTAGTTTTGTAAAATACATTCAGTTAATTCTTATAGATCTGGTACAAAGAATCTGAATTTATTTTATGTGCTTAAATGTACTTAGGAATATTGTTCACATCTTCCTGCTGCTGCCTATTGAAATGGAATCATCGATGTAGGAAGGAGCTTACTTATCTTTTGTGATATCTTTTTGCTTCACAGAAGGAAACTGAGACCCAGAGATATTATGTGACTTTCCAATTTTGTATAGTTGATTAATTGGTGTGAAAGCTGAGATGCACCCCAAGATTGTAGAATCAGTCCGGTTCTTTCTGCTATGTCAAGCACAGTCCCTAGTTTTGAATTTTATTTTTTCCTCTTTAAAAGAAATTGAAATCTTAGTACACTAAATATCAGCTTTGTTTTTATATTATATTCTTGGAAAATTAAATTAGCTACATGACTACATTTTTCTTACTAAAATACTGGTGGGATTAACATTTTTTGTTTCTATCACAGTGTTATATACAGAGTGCTTTTCTCTAGTGCCTAGTAAATGTGCTTTGCCTGTAGTATTATGGCCTAATCATAGTATCTGTTTTTGAATATATAAAACATAACAAGTTATTGTTAAATATTTTCTTTCTTATCATAGCATCTTTAGTTACTATTAGCATATTTAGGTTTCATTCCTATTTTAATGGTGAATTTTAATCAAACTTATATAACACCACTGTAAATGGTTAGCACTTTTTTGAGTGGAATACTAGCATATCATGTTCATTTTAATTATTATTTTCTACAAATTTAAGTCCATTTTAGGTTTTTATGGTGCTTTCATATACCAGCAGACATTAGAGGATATCACACATCATTCTTACCCTTAAAGTAATCCATCATTTGATCAAATTTATCAAAATAAGTTTGTAGGCTTAGCCTGTTTTTGATGGATGTGTTGAAGAAGAGAAGTTCTTCATTTTTTAATCCTTACCTTTAAAGGCAGTGCTAGGATTTGAACCCAGTACCTCTGTACTGAGCTACACACCAGTCCCTTGCTATGTCTTGATCCTTAAGATCAGAATTGTCTTCTGTAAAAAGGAGTACTTGATTTATGTAATTTTTAACTCTGGAATACTTTCTGTCTCCAGCATTTCATGCTTTTAAAAATTTCTTCAATGACAGGTAAAACCTCATGACTATCTCCCAGAATCATGAGTTGCTTCAGAACAAATTATAAGGATTTTTGGAGGGTGCCATGGTAGGGATAAAATCCAGGGACTTCTGCATGCTGAGAAAGCTCTTTATCACTGAACTACAACCCTGGCTCAAATTATGATTCTTGATGGCAGATTTTTGTTTCTTTGTTTGTTTGTTTCTTTTGGAGAGAGTTGAATTTGACTTTTAGAATCAGTCCTAAACTAGTTTTAATGGAAGATATTAAAGATTGAAAATTAAATTTTTGATAAATTGTTAGAACAATGCAGATTCTAATAATATAACAAAATGTGTCTGCTGACATTGTTTTTGGTCTTATTGTAGAGATTTTGTTTGTCTTTGTTTTAATGATGTTTGCAGTATTATTAATGTTTGTGTGTTCTTTAATGTGAAATAGTCATTTGCAGTTTTTAATACATTGTTGGCTTCTGTTTATCTTTTTATCAAATTTCATCATTGGTCCTAAGTGTTTATGGTTCATAATTTGCCTTAAAGTGTATATGTGATAATTTTAAAATACATTGTGGCTGGGCTGAGGTTGTGGATCAGTGGTATAGTGCTTGCCTAGCATATATGAGGCACTGGGTTTGATTCTCAGCACCACATATAAATTAACAAATAAATAAAGGTCCATCAACAACTAAACAAAGTATTTTAAAAAAATACATTGTGACTGAAAAAGATAAATCGACACATTTATACCATTAGGTACCTTACCATGCCTTTAGGATTTTATATGATATTTACTACACACACTTTTAAATTTACACAGTGTTCTTGAATTTTCCTGTTGCTTTTTATTAGACTGTGTTGCGATTTCCTGTTTTTCTTAGTTAAGAATTCCAGTGTATTAATTTCTGTTTTGGAAGTAGGGAGAAGCTAGATTTAAATAGGTGGAGCAAAAATAGCAAATTCCTTGACCATTTTAAGCATTTGTAATTCTCCAGTCTTTTCAAACGGCAAAAGAGTACCTTACAAATAACTTCATACTTACTTGGAACTGTTGCTTTTGTATAACTACTCTCTTCCACCATTTTTTCCTTGGTTCAGCTATCTCCCATTTGCCCATTTGTATTTCTTCTGGAAGGAATAAAGCTAAATGATACAGAAAGGGCTGGTGTCAGTTTTTCAAAAATGTAATTTGGTTGAGTAGCCAAAATAGAACTATTATAAGTATTTTAGCTAATAAATATCAGTTAAATTTTTAAAATGTAGAATAATTGAATTTATAAGAAAAAATACCTTATTGAAAAAACAAAATGACCTTTGAGTTGCTCAGAATAATCTAAGACAAATTACACACCCTGTGTAATGAGAAGAAAAAAGTGTAGTTAGACACTATGATACAGCTGTAATTAAGGCAACAATGAAGTTTGGCTGATATAGTCTACCATCTTTTTGATAATCAGTTCTTTGGAATTGAAGACATAAAATATATATATATATGTTTTCTGTCCGTTCTATTCTTAGAGGTCTGTCTTCATACTTTACATAATTACTCCAAAAGAGGAGACAGGAACTGAATATCAGGTGGTGACTATCAGCTATAGGAACTGTGTTTTAAGTTACAAATTAATAGGCTAGATTTCATGTTAATTTAAGACAAATACATATGGAAAGTTTAAGTGAACAGATCTTCTATAAGTTTTTCAGAAACCTTTTACTTCTCTCCCCAGTAAGTGTGATGGGTTTGTTAACTTTTCATGACATCTTGTAAATGTATTAAGAAGGGATCCAGGCCCATTGGAAGAGAGTGTGATAGTTGATTGGTGTTATTTGCCATGGTGGGGTAAAAAGAGTAAAGTGGCAATGCAGTTTCTCTTTTCTAAACTAAATGTGAAAATTCAACCATGTAGAGTTGTAGCCAGAATTCACAGTCCATGTTCATTCTTTGAGAATAGTTCAGGTAACGCTGAAGTGATATATGCATCTGTCTGACCTATTTTAAACCAAATTAGTTACCACCTTAGATTTGATCTTTTATTTTTTTATTCTTTTTATCTGGTAGAAGTTCAAAAAAGGCAGTTAGTATATAAATAAGAATTAAGCTAATGAGTGAAAAAAAATAGATTGTATCACATTTTTCAGGCTGAATTTCCTAGGAACACTTTTTCACATTTAATAAATGTGCCACCAAAAGAAGAAGAAAGATTCTGTACTTTAAATAATTTGGGGAAATATTTAAATAGGTTACTTCTCTCAGTACACCTCAGACCCTTTAGTAGTTTTATGATTTTCCTAAAAAGGATTGGAATGGAATATTTATCATTTCCCAAATTTGTATACCTGTTTCTACAGAAAAACAGGTCTTTATTTTTTATCGTATCCCAGAATAATGTTTCTTATACATTATACAATCTTAATAACAAGATTGTTGATTATTGTCTTTCTCCTTTCATATTACTTGCTCCCAGAAAACTCAGTTGTTATTAAAAATAAAATCTAAGTAAAAGTCTGAAAACTTTTACTTAGATTTTATTAAAACTTTTACTTAGTCTGAAAACAGTTGATAAAATGAGCTTTATAAAACAGTGGGAGAGGGCTGGGGATGTGGCTCAAGCTGTAGCGCGCTCCCCTGGCATGTGCGGGGCGCTGGGTTCGATCCTCAGCACCACATAAAAAAATAAAATAAAGATGTTGTGTCCACCAAAAACTAAAAAAAAAAAAAAAAAAACAGTGGGAGAATGAGAAGTGTCAAGCTTAGTGTAGCACCAGAAGAAAGAGCAGGCAGGTCCTCACAGATGTACTCATATGCATTTGTGCGTTGGTACAGACGAAACTATATGTAGCAGAATTTTAAATAAGATTGTCATGGGCCAGCCATGGCTGTGTGTGTGAACTATGAGGGGACTGGACTGACGTTGCCTCTCTGTTTGCACTAGTGATGTGTGTGTGTCCTTTTTGCGCACTCTGCCTATGATCCCCATGTAGCACATGAGATGGGCATGGCCTCCCAAGATGTCAGTCAATCTGCTGATGGCAAGACATCAGGAAGCTAGGCTCAACCCCCTGAAACCTGACCCCTTGCCTCATTTGTCTTCCCCTCAATAAAAAGGGCTTCAGAAAGTTCTCCCCCTCTTTCTCCTCTGCCTTGCCCCCTTTGTGGGAGTAGTGGCTGAGGAGCCCTCACTGAACCCAAAGAAAAAGGTACTTTCTGTGTCAGTGTCTTTATTTAGTCAGCCCAAATTCACCTGTAGTGACCCTGACTGATTTAGTCATGTGACGCAGTATAAGATTCTGAGAGGAAGCCAAATCAGTGAAAGATAGACAACCAAATTTTATTTTATTATTTAATTTTAATTATTGCTTTTAATTCTACTTTTAGTATAACAAGTTTATTTAAAGTGACAGAAAACAACTAGGTATTTAATTTTTAAAAATAGTATGAAATTTTAGGTTATCTACATAAGAACTAATATTTTAGTGGAAAGTAGTTAAAAGAGAAAATTTTACAAAAATTAGAAGTATGCCTTCTTGATTAGGTAAATGTAGTCTTAAACAATAGCAAAACAAAAAAAAACAACAGGATCTTTCAGTATTTAACAACATCAAGATGAAAACATGATAAAGAAAAAAAATGTAGTTACTTTGTTACAAGATAGCACAAGTTACTCAAATAGATTCTCAGACCATATCATAAAAATAACTTAAAGTGCAGTTATGATGAAATTTTTATCTAAGTTTGCTAACATTTCAGTGAAGTAAAACACTCTCTTGAGAACTTCTTGACTTAAAGATCTTAAGTGAGAACTTCTTCATCTTAGGGTTAATTATCTAAGGATTTAATACCAGATAGTGAATCATGCCCTCTAGTTTTATCTTTGAAACTCTTGATTTCAGAGAATCCAGTTGTATATCTTCAAACTCCTGTGCCTCATATACTAGGTTTTAGAGGGTATATAGATAAAATAGAAGGCATAAAACAGGCAATAAATCCAGAAGTTTATTGTGCTCATATAAATAGCTTAAAGAGCAAAATGAATTATAAATTGAGATGAATACTGAAGCTAACAAAATATATAAAATATATATATACTCTTATAAAGTAGCATTAAAAAAAACCAACTCACCAGACCATTGGGGTTTGAAGAGGAAGCCGGTGGCATAAATTAAACTTAATTAACTTAACAGAAAAAGTATTCTGTTTCCATAAGTGTTCTCAGCAAAATGTAAGTTACATATTAATATAATTAGGTTGAATTTCCCATATAATACTGATTATTAGAGCAATGTATTCATGATGTATTTCAGGGATCTACCTTATCTTTGTTTGTTCAACACTTTATTTAATTGTTAACTTAGGACATATATTTTACCATTTCAAAGTTTCTCAATTCTTTGTTCATTCTCTTGTTCAAGAGTATGATGTGTGCCAACAACATCATTAATAAAAAAGCACATTGCCAAGAGTGTAGTGGTGCTGCTTACTCACCATTTCATAGTCTAAATTTTGCCATCAGTCCTAGCTACTGTGCTGAAAGAAGGCATTGGCAGTCTAGAAATCAGTCAGATAATTTCACATGTCATCTAAAATTACGTTACAAGAAACTGAAAAAGGGGTGCTAAGAGGAATGGCTTAAGAAATTAGGACTCTAGTGCTAGGGCTATAGCACAGTGCTAGAGTGCCTGCCTTGCACATGTGAGGCACTGGGTTTGATCCTCAGCACCACATAAAAATAAATAAATAAAGATATTATGTCCGTCTACAACTAAAAAAAAAATTTTTTTTTAAGAAAAAGAAACCCTAGAGAATAAACAATTTAAAAATGAATTTGACTATCACTATTTGCAGATGACATGATTCTATATCTAGCAGACCCAAAAGGTTCTACAAAGAAACTACTAGAACTAATAAATGAATTCAGCAAAGTGGCAGGATATAAAATCAACACACATAAATCAAAGGCATTCCTGTATATCAGCGACAAATCTTCTGAAATGGAAATGAGGACAACCACCCCGTTCACAATATCCTCAAAAAAATAAAATAAAATACTTGGGAATCAACCTAACAAAAGAGGTGAAAGATTTATACAATGAAAACTACAGTACCCTAAAGAGAGAAATAGAAGAAGATCTTAGAAGATGGAAAAATATACCCTGTTCATGGATAGGCAGAACTAACATCATCAAAATGGCGATATTACCAAAAGTTCTCTATAGGTTTAATGCAATGCCAGTCAAAATCCCAACAGCATTTTTTGTAGAAATAGATAAAGCAATCATGAAATTCATCTGGAAAATAAAAGACCCAGAATAGCAAAAGCAATTCTAAGCAGGAAAAGTGAAACAGGCGGTATAGCGATACCAGACTTCAAACTATACTACAGAGCAATAGTAACAAAAACAGCATGGTCCTGGTACCAAAACAGGCGGGTGGACCAATGGTACAGAATAGAGGACACAGAGACCAATCCACAAAATTACAACTATCTTATATTTGACAAAGGTGCTAAAAGCATGCAATGGAGGAAGGATAGCATCTTCAACAAATGGTGCTGGGAAAACTGGAAATCCATATGCAACAAAATGAATCTGAATCCCTTTCTCTCTCCATGCACAAAAGTTAACTCAAAATGGATCAAGGAGCTTGATATCAAACTAGAGACTGCGTCTGATAGAAGAAAAAGTTGACTCTAATCTACGTATTATGGGGTTGGGCTCCAAATTCAAGTTTAAAACAAGAATCAACAAATAGGACTTACTCAAACTAAAAAGTTTTTTCTCAGCAAGAGAAACAATAAGAGAGGTAAATAGGGAGCCTACATCCTGGGAACAAATTTTTACTCCTCACACTTCAGATAGAACCCTAATATCCAGAGTATACAAAGAACTCAAAAAATTAATAAGAAAACAAATAACCCAATCAACAAATGGGCCAAGGACCTGAACAGATACTTCTCAGAGGAGGACATACAATCAATCAACAAGTACACAAAAAATGCTCACCATCTCTAGCAGTCAGAGAAATGCAAATTAAAACCACCCTAAGATATCATCTCACTCCAGTAAGAATGGCAGCCATTACGAAGTCAAACAACAACAAGTGCTGGCGAGGATGTGGGGAAAAGGGTACACTTGTACATTGCTGGTGGGACTGCAAATTGGTGTGGCCAATTTGGAAAGCAGTATGGAGATTCCTTGGAAAGCTGGGAATGGAACCACCATTTGACCCAGCTATTCCCCTTCTCGGACTATTCCCCAAAGACCTTAAAAGAGCGTACTATAGGGATACAGCTACATTAATGTTCATAGCAGCACATTTCACAATAGCTAAACTGTGGAACCAACCTAGATGCCCTTCAATAGATGAATAGATAAAAAAAAAAATGTGGCATTTATACACAATAGAGTATTACTCAGCACTAAAAAATGACAAAATCATGGCATTTGCAGGGAAATGGATGGCACTAGAGCAGATTATGCTAAGTTGAAGCTAGCCAATCCCTAAAAAACAAATGCCAAATGTCTTCTTTGATATAAGGAGGGCAACTCAGAACAGAGCAAGGAGGAAGAGCATGAGAAGATTACCATTAAACAGGGACGAGAGGTGGGAGGGAAAGGGAGAGAGAAGGGAAATTGCATGGAAATGGAAGGAGACAGTTACACAAAATTACATATAAGAGGAGGTGAGGGGAAAGGGAAAAAAACGAGATAGAAATGAATTACAGTAGATGGGGTAGAGAGAGAAGATGGGAGGGGAGGGGAGGGGGGATAGTAGAGGATAGGAAAGGCAGCAGAATACAACAGACACTAGTATGGCAGTATGTAAAAACGTGGATGTGTAACCGATGTGATTCTGAAATCTGTATATGGGGTAAAAATGGGAGTTCATAACCCACTTGAATCAAATGTATGAAATATGATATGTCAAGAGCTTTGTAGTGTTTTGAACAACTAATAAAATAAATAAATAAAAAGAAATGAATTTGATAACCTGTCTTCTAGTATTTGAAAACAGTATGAGTACAGAAAAATTTAAGGCCCCACTTTTGTTAAATACATACATACATAAATGCTTAGAACTTAGCCCACTAATGAATTAGGACACAGGGAAATTTTTAGGGGGAACTGGAAAACTAACATTGAATAAATTATTTTTCAGTAGAAGTTAGATTATGACTCTTTTTGGATGTTGTTTGGCTAAGAGGAAGAGTTTCCTCAGTTAAAAACAAACCAAAAAAGATCACTCCCTGTTCATTCTGATAAGTTGGTCTTTTGCTAAATGAAATGTTTTTACCTCTTCATTAGAGGTAACATTTTTAATCTTCAGTTCCTGAAATCCTTCTTATAAATGTGGTTCTTCCTTAAAATTAAATAATATGGTTAAAATGTAATGAGGAAAAAATTAAATTGTAATATGTCAATTAATTTTAAGCTAAAAAGAAATAGAGTATATTCAAATGTTTTCTGAAGATTCTTTTTTTAAAACATGAAAAGCTAAACTTACATGTTTAATTCACATACACTGATATAAATTTATATTCACAAATATATCTCCACCTAATAATTTTTCTTTACTGCTATAGATCATACCTCACTCCTGTTAGAGATGAAGAATCTGAATCCCAAAGAAAAGCAAGATCTAGACAAGCAAGACAGTCTAGAAGATCAACACAGGTATATTTAATATGTATAATTTATAAAACATGAAATGTATATAAACACACATACTTAATATGTAATAATAATTTTTTTTTACTTTGCTGTGAAAATATTGATGTCTGTATACTAATATGAATAAATTTTGAAGGTAGAGGTCACTATAGAAATGCTCCCATGGTTTTGTATATGATTATACTATTAATATTATATTCTTGGGTTAGCTGTATGCCTTTGTATCTTTTTTAGTATTTTTTTTTTAATTCCCCATTTCTAATTTGAGGTCCAGGACAGAGTAAGTATTGATAAGTGTTAGAATTGATCAATTAAGGCTGAGGTTGTAAGCTCAGTGGTCAGTGGTTGAGCGCTTGCCTCACGTTCGTGAGGCACTGGGTTTGATCCTCAGCACCACATAAAAAAATAAATAAATAAAACGAAGATACTGTGTCCATCTACAACTAAAAGAAAAAATTTTTAAAATTAATCATATATGATCTTTATTTATTAAAGAGTTCTGTGGCTATTTGGATGTAGGAGGAGGTAGAGAAAAGGCTTCTTAATATTAAGTATATCTAACAGCTAATATGCAATTACGAGAAAAATGTCTCCCAGGTTAGTCATTATCTTCTTACTTCCTCTTTATCTTGCTGATTATTATATATCCCTTTGTGTCTTTCCTTTCTTATAGTTGGGGAGCTCCACAGCAATTGTTTGATTTTTTACCATTACTTACCCTTCAAGCTGAACTATTCATATTGAAATCTTAACCTTAGCTTATTGTGTGTGTGCATGTATATTTACATATACTTCACACACTCATAGATATAAATGTATGTAATGTATTATGTAAACGATGTATATTTTGTCTTTTCTTCCTCTGATCTTGGGAACAATTATATTCCTATCATATATCTCTTTTTTCTTAATAAAATTTCTGAATACTGAGACATTTTCTTATATTTATAACTTTCCCAGAATTTATCCTTGTGCTTACTCATGGTGATGCTTCTTAAAATAAATCACTTTGCTGCTTAAAAACTGTTTCAGTGTAAAAACCAATTTCAAACGTGATTATATGACATTTAATATATCTTTATAAAATATTCTTTCAAAATGACTTTTAATGCATCCCACAATTAATTTATCCCTTTTTGTGTGTAGGGGGTGACATTGACTGATCTTCAGGAAGCTGAAAAAACTATAGGAAGAAGTCGTTCTACCAGAACCAGAGAGCAAGAAAATGAAGAAAAAGAAAAGGAGGAAAAAGAAAAACAGGATAAGGAGAAACAAGAAGAAAAGAAGGAGTCAGAAACATCTAGAGAAGATGAATATAAGCAAAAATACTCTAGAACATATGATGAGGTAATAGTACAGCTGGGTTGAATAGGATGAATAGTTCTTATCATTGTAAGTATACCAGAGATTTATATACCAAGAAACCTTACATAGAAAATGTGAAAGGATTTTAGCTGGCATTCTGAATTACTTTGGCATGATTAGAAAAATTACTTTTCCTTTGAAATGAATCTTCAAGTGTTCTATATGTTTATTGTATTTAATATTTCAAGTGGATTTTAATTTTAACGTTTCACAGACTTTTCCACGTTATAGACCAGTGTCAACTTCAAGTTCAACCACTGCATCCTCTGCCCTTCCTACAATGACCAGTTCACTCTATGCTTCAAGTCAACTAAACAGGCCAAATAGTCTTGTAGGTATAACTTCTGCTTACTCCAGAGGATTAACTAAAGAAAATGAAAGAGGTAAGAAGACTAATTTTGAAAATAATTTGTTTCATTTAAATAATCCTTTGAATTGATTTTTCCTAATTGATAATTAGGAACTAATTGATACAACCTAAACGGTTAGTTAGCTGCCTAAACAGAAAGAATGTGAGGTTGAGAAAAAAGTAGAAAATAAATATAGAAAATGATGTGATCTGTAGTTAATATGAATCTTTATAATCTAATACTTTACAAATATCTTCGTGTATGCCTACAAAGAAAAGTCAATACAGAAAACATGACGGGTGCCTATTTCTTAGAGTGGTTTATTGGTGTAGCACTTTTCACATGCTTTAAGCTATTTCTTGCCTACATTTTAGAATATTTTCTTGTGAAATTGTTTTAAACTAAAATCACTTCATACACTTAATGTCCTTGTGAAACTGGAGAGTTTGAAATGAAACTTCATTCACTTATTCTGTTGGTGGATAGAATGTTTTAAGTTGGAGGCCTCTGCAGCCAAGAAAACCCATTTTAGTGTTAGACAGCTAATTACAGCAAGGGATGCCTTCCATCCTCAGCTCCAGGAGTAACAGCCAGCCAAACCTGATTCTTTTCCACTACCATTGAATGGTATGTTGTAGCCTTCAGTATTGCAGCTCTGAATGGCAGTTGTGCTCTCCAGTATTGCAGTAGACTATAGCAGCTTGCTACCAACTTCTTCTAAGTTTTCGTCTTGCAGATTCAAAGAATGAAATTCATGGGGTAATGGAAGACCAGAGAGAAAGGAGTAGGCTTTTTTCCAGGCATGAAGAACAGAAGCAGAACTCTTGCAGGGGCAAGAGGATAACCCATGGAGGTTGCCCTCTGAGTGTGCTAGGCTAGGAGTTTATTTAGCACTTAGTTGATGCTGTTGATTCAGATTTATGCTAATCAGGGTTTGGAAAAGCAGTAACTCTATTGGTTAACTTTCCATTCAGGTCTGCCTCATTTCTGGTTTTGTTTTGTTTGTTTGTTTGTTTGCCGCTCAGAGGAAAGTGGAATGTTGAGGTTGTTGGATTGTGGATTACTCAGGGCAGTAGTGCTGTACAGAGCAGATATCTGACCTGGGCCAGCACACCTCAGTCCCTTACTGGTGTGGCAGGCTCAGAGTCGATGGACCACACTCCAGGCCATGTGGGCCACAACTCTGGGATGACTTCAATTACTAAAACAAAAGTTTCATATGAATTCTTTAAAAATGGATTTCTTTCTCAGCTGTATATATTGGCTCATTAATTTTTATTATTACCATTTCCTATTTGATATAAACTTTCTATTAAAATTCTAATTATTACTACTTTATATTAGAGGTGAATGTTAAATAAAATGATTCCTAAATATAGGCATTTTATATTTTTAAAACTAAATCTTATAGTGTTACTTATGATAATATCAGTAATTATGTACTATAAATATCAGAAAAATAATTTTTCTTAATTTCCAGATAGATTTTCTTTTGTTAATTATTGAAATGGTTCAGTTCTTTGGGTTTGATCCTTAGCACCACATAAAAATAAAAAAAATAAAAATAAAATAAAATAAAGGCATTCTGTCCATCTACAACTACAAAAGGAAAAAACTACTATGTGTGAGACCTATATAGTACTTGTAGACATTTTAAGCCACGATTTAGGGACATTTCACATAAAATTTCAGATTTTTTGGCTTTTATTAAAAAGTTGAAAAATTTGGCAACACGTCAGCAGTCGACTGGAGCTAAGTAGTAACATTTACCCATTCTCCCAGCCCATTTTAACTTAGTTATTCCAAATATCTGGATGGGCACTGTAGGCATTGGAGTTTCAGATTTTTGTTATAAAATTATACTAAAACAGTTTTAAGAACTCCTCTGATACTGATTTTGAGTTGTCTTTTGGTATGACTCTCTACTAACCACAGAGTCTTTTATAAATCATTTTGTTTTCTCTCTGTCTACTTTTTAAGCATATTCAAAGACTCTAATATTCTTGTAATGTATAAGCCTAAGGTAATTTTAACTGTTGCAGGGAAGAAATAGGAATCTTAAGACTAATATTTTATGTTGATTTATTTTTATTAAAGTAAATACATTTTACAGAACAAAATGGTTTGCTCTCAGATAGTATCTAACAGAAATGAAAAGAATACCGTATTACTGCTAAATGAGGACTGGCAGTAGTAGAAGCAGAAACTGATAAATTTATATGATTCCTGTTACCTGTCCCATTATTAAGATAGGTTTGGGAGTTTTGTTTTGTTTTGCTTTGCTTTGGTTTTCTCTTGAAGTATTATTTAGGCATAAGAACTATCTCCCTATCACAAAATAAGAACTTCAGGATTCCATCTCTCTAGCAAATATTATTTTGTTTTGAGCAAATTTTTTATTTTAAGCACTAGGAAAATGAAGATGATTCATTCTTATCCTGATATTTACGAATGTATCTAGGTGCTGGGATTGTGGTTCAGTGGCAGAGCACTTGCCTGGAACATGTGAGGCATTGGGTTTGATCCTCAGCACCACATAAAAATAAAAAATAAAGGTTTTGTGTCCGTCTACAACTAAAGGATTAAAAAAAAAAAAGAATGTATCTTAACAGGAGATAGAAATGCATGTTTATATGAAAGTGTATAAGGAACAATGAGAGAGGAAAAATTAATTACGATTTGTGAAATATAGGAGGCTTCACAAAAGAGGCTGACCTAGAATTGTTCTGATATACATCTTTTAAAATACGGTCAAGTTACATTTTTATCATATGTTTTATGTCAATCCTTAACAGAGGGAGAAAAAAAAGAAGAGGAGAAGGAAGGTGAAGATAAATCACAGCCTAAATCCATCAGAGAACGACGGAGACCAAGAGAGAAAAGAAGATCTACGGGAGTGTCTTTTTGGACACAAGATGTAAGAACCTTTTAAAACTAGTATAGTATTTTTAAAACTTGATAGTATACTTAATGTTTCCAAAAGTACATACTAACAATCACCTATATGCCTCATTATTATATATTATTAAATTATATATTAAATTCATCACTGTACTTTCTCAATTGAGTCTGTTAACTAAGAAAAATTCTTGATAAAAAATAGTTAGACTTTTGGTATCATGTACAAGCAGTTCTGTCCCAACTTTGGAATAAAAATTATAATAGCTGCTGCTCAGAGTACATATATTGATTATTATGTAATTACTAAACTGCTTCTTTATTTTAGAGATTCTTGAAAGGAAGAGAGGTTGTACATATAATTTTGTTTTCACAAATATTTTAAGATTTATATAACAGTGATTTCCATCTTACGAAACGCCAGGTAGAGGCTTTGCTTTCTTTATCAAATTTCTACAGTCAAGTAAAAATGTTTATCCAGATCCCCAGTTGCATGCCTGCCAATACTATTCACATACAAAATGAATTATGAGGAAGCACAGTGAAATTTATAGTGTTTTGTTACAACATATACCTATGGAAGAACAAAACAATATGAGTTTTATCCTCTTTTTTTCCCATTTGTTTAAAGAAGAAACCTTTCATTGAACTCCAGTATATATATGCAAAAACAGTTCATTAAAGTATAGCTTAAGGAATTAGTGTTAAAAATAACAATACATATATCCCCCCGTATTTTTTCTCTTGAGCTTTATCAATCCTCATTTTCATTGTCAACCAGTATCCTGATTTGTAACAGCATAATTAGCTGTTTGCTCTTGAAGAACATTGAATAGAACTGTAAATTTTGTGATGTTTTAATCTCTTTTACCCATTCTTCTAAAAAGAAATAAACTTATCTGCTTTCCCATTGAATTGACCCTTAAATGATTACATGTTCCTCTTTATCTATAATGTTTTATCTTAAAGTTTGCTTCTTTGAAAAGCTTTCTTTTGATTAGCCTGTGCATATATATCTTTTCTATACTTTTATGTTCTACTTATAACAATGTATTAAGGGCAACATTTCTTTGAACAGGTTTGTCTTTTAATTTCAGTTCATATTCATTTATTAATATATTGCATGTGCTACAAATAACATAGTTTAAAATATATGAATAGTTAAGATACATTTTAAAACTGCATGTTATTTGTAGTATATGTAGTTGCACAAAATATGGGAAAGTATTAAATGGAGTTAAAGAGATTTAATATTTTTGTGTTGGCCATGATGTGAATAAAGTATTCACATATGATTGGTTGTTTTTTTAAAGTTTCTTTTGATCAGTAATATTCTCCCTCCCTTTTTTTAAAACTTTTTTTTTATTTTTTTTTAGTTTTAGTTGGACACAGTATCTTTATTTTGTTTTTACGTGGTGCTAAGAATCAAACCCAGTGCCTCATGCATGCTAGGTGAGCACTCTACCACTGAGCCACAATCCCAGCACCTAAAACAATTATTTTTAAAGGAGCTGAGTTATCACATCTCTGAAGGGTAATTTACCATAGTCCTCTGGGTTTGTTTTTATTTTTTAAATATTTCTGTAAATTGGTACTTGGAGTTAATGAATTGATCTGGTTTAGTAGTCCGTAAACAATGTATTTTATTCCTCCATCAGGAAATATATAATGTCTGGTTGATTTTAATGGATTGCCCACTAACACTTTTCATAAACAATAAAATAAAACCTTGTATTCTTAGCATCCTATCATTTGGTAAATTTTATTACTTAAAATTATTTTCTCAATAATTCATATGTATTGGAAATTACTACATAGGCAAAGCTGCTTAGTATTTTTTCCCCCCAATTTTATTGAAATCAATTCTTTCTTTAAAAGTACACTTTCTGGAATCGTGCACTTGACCCTCTTATAAGAATCCTTCCTCAGACCCATATTGGCAGTCCCACTGTTTTTTAATTTGAGCCAGCATTGATTGAGTTCTAATCATCCATGAAAGCACAGGACTCCTGTTATTTTTATTGCCCCATGTTTGCACCTTAGCAGACAATGTACAAAAATCCAAAGCTTAAAGAAAGGGTGGTGTGTAGTCAGGCAACTCATTTCTCTATCGTAATATTTGTTTCCTTTTCTTAGTTACAACTTTTTAGGAACTCTGAGCCTTCCCACTTTTTTCTTCCCAGTTCCTGTGCTCTCCCATGAAACAACAATGCATAAAGGCAATCAGTTCATGACATACTAGTGGCAACACGTCATCATTTTCTCTTCTTCACTTATTAACTAACTTCACATACTTTTGTTGGTACTAGGGATTGAGCCCAGAGGCACTTAACCACTGAGTCACATCCTCAGCCCTTTTTTATATTTTATTTAGAGACAGATTCTGTTGAGTTACTTAGGGCCTTGCTAAGTTGCTGAGGCTGGTGTTTTTTTAATTTTTAATTGTAGTTGGACACAATACCTTTATTTATTTTTAGGTGGTACTGAATATTGAACCCAGGGCCTCGCACGTGCTAGGCAATCGCTCTATCACTGAGCCACAACTCCAGCCCCCGAGGCTGGCTTTGAATTTGTGATCCTTCTGCCTTAGCCTCCCAAGCAGTTAGGATTACAGGTGTATGCCACTGCGCCCAGCTCACATATCAAAGTAATAACTTTTACAAAGATTCTGTGTAATCTTTTGAATACTTCTGTAAAGTTTATATCCTCACTTTATGTATGAGGTAACTGTGGCTCAAAAATTTTTAATTTGCCTTAAGTCACACAGCTGAAAATAACTGTATTAATATGAAACTAGGTTTATCCAGTTTAAAGCCTGTAGTATTTGTATATTGAGCCTGAGCCAGATATGTTTTAACACCAATTTCTCTTTTATATTTCTTGAATATTTGAAGGCATAATCTGGAATTCTAGACGTTTATCATATTCTGACCTACATTTTCTATTCCATGTACTCCCAAGAAATTTCTAGAAGGAACCCCACCTAAACATATTAGGACTGTTGGGAAACTCTTACTAAACTTAACAAATCTAGCTTTTATTTACATAAAATAATTTTTTTGTGCTGCTTCATGATATTTGAGTAGCTTAATAGTAGTTAATTGGAGCATACACAGTATCATAATATAAAGTAGAATATCTTCTTTCTTTCTTACCTTAAATTTCCATTTCCTTACCTTCAATAGAAATGTGTTTCCTAAACCACATGTTAGATAGGTTTTTGTCATCGTATACGCTAGCCTACTTAGTTTGTGCCATGCCAACAAAATAGGCTTTCTCTAAATAGGATTGAAAAACTCCCATTTAAAAATCATTTTTTTTAATTTCATAAATCTATTTTAGAGTGATGAAAATGAACAAGAACAACAATCAGATACAGAAGAAGGATCCAATAAAAAAGAAACTCAGGTAAATAGCATTATTTTTGTATTGAATAATATTCATATTTACAGAATTACTTTTGAATTGTGTTTAAATTATAGTAATTCATACAAAACAGTTATTGCATATTGTACCTATCTACAGAGATACAGTATCAATGATTGCTTAAGGGTTAAAGGTAGAAGGACTAAATAGGGACAAACAGGATATCTTAAGAGGTGATAGAAGTGTTCTGATCTCTATTGTAGTACTAGTTTCATGGATGTACAACACCTACCAAACACATCAAGTGGACATAGTTTATTGTATATAATTTAACCTTCAGAGCTGAGAAGAAAATACCTAAAGGATACTTCTCAGAAGTTGTGGAAATCTAGAACTAGCAGACTCAGATTTTTATTTCTGTAGATGGTAAAGTTAAGTTCTAGAGGAAATGGACCTCTAACTTTCTTTCTCCAAAGATCTTTTATATTGATTATTAGAAATGATACTCCTAACCATCTTTTTTTAAAAAAGGCTTTTTTACCCTCTCAGTAGTGATGAAGGGTTTAAGGCAATTTTGAATGACTTAAGGTTGCACAGATAACAAGCAGTGGGAGTTTCTTCCCCTTGCCTTTTTTACCCTCCCCATTTGCTATTGTTTGGGTATGCAGAAAGATCAAATACTTTAATTCTATTCACATAGGGACTGCCAACATGAGTACCACTCTCTGGCCTGAAATAGCATCTCAGTCATGTTGATGTTATCTTCTTCATTTTGTCTTGGGGATAGCACAATCCTTTCAGTCTGCATGGAAGTATGTAGAGTAATGTGAAGCGACCAAAAGCTAGTTGCCTATGGTATGTGACTATAGACATTCCCATTAGAGCCAAGTGTTCCTATTTTAACTCAAAAGATACTTTTATGGGGTGGGGGCTATAGCTCAGTGGCAGTGCGCTTGCCTAGCATGTGTGAAGCACTGGGTTCGATCCTCAGCACCACATAAAAATAAACAAATAAAGGTATGCTGTCCATCTACAACTACAAAAAAAATTAAAAAAAGAAAAAAGATACTCTTATATATTAGGTAGTCAGATAGATTGAGGAGTGAATTAGTACTGAGGGTAAATTATTGCAAGGGTAAAGCTTTGTCACGTCTGTCAATTAAACCTTTTGCATATCAGTTGTTAAAACTCCCCCAATTCATCTCTGTCCCTTCTTTATTATATTCTATTGTAACAAATTCTCCCATCATTTCCTTTCCCAGTTGTACTCTATGAATTCCCATCTCTCAAGGGGTAAAAAAGTGGACAGGTAAACAAGAGAAAGGAAATTAGTAAAACATCCCCAGCTGACACTTCTAACTGACTTATCACACAGACCCACCTTCCTCAAGCTGGGTGGAAAGGAGAAGTTTCTGACTTACAAAGGTGTAACTTTGAAGCATATACTGTGTTTAAATTTTACTGTAAAAATTATGCATGAAATACATTAAGATTCTTAGAACATTGTTTCTAGAAAAAAAGTTTTCTTAGTTCCAAACAATTTAAATAATTTTTGTCTTAAATAGAAGAGTCTATAGATCTTACTTTGTGCTAGCATTCTTTTAGTCACAAGTAATAGAAAATCCAACCCAAACTGGATATCAATACATTATTGTACTCTGGTAATGTTATATAGTTTTATATGTTAGCTTCGTCTTCAAAATAATTTATCTCATATGTATGGAATTATAGTTGGCTTAGGTTAGACATGTCTACTACTGAGGTGTTAGGGCCATCTTGCTCCTAGTATGGGCTATATATCATCATCTCATCTAAACCTTAATGACTGCTATACCTTGAGGAAAAGGAAGGATGGAGTGAAGATGCTGACCCACAATGTCTTCTGCAATATCTTACTACAGTTCTTCTCCCAATAAGTGTGCTGTTCTCTTTTGAAAACTAATAGCATTAGCCCTGACTTCTTTGAAAAAATGTGAGGAGCAAAATTCTTCTTATGTCACTTTCTGAAGTGGCCTTATAATTACCTCAAAAATGTCTTCAACAACAAAGCTTCTAAACAGTTTTTTAATCCAATCTAAACACATTGACAGATGACTTTCTGGCATGTGTTTGAAGAAAAGTAAATTTTTAGATGCTATGAAGTCACTGAAAAGTTCTGAATTACATGTAAAACTGAATTTACTTTCAGCATATAAAAATAAAATTAAGATGAAATTTCATAACATAATTTGAATTACTTTGTCATATCATTGTTCATTATTTCCAAAAATTGAGTTTCTGTTGCTTTGGTTATTGTGATTTGTTTTCCTTAAGCTATTGAATGGTAAAAAAATTTAGCACACAAAGAACATTGGTGATAAATCAATTTAAAACAAGTGTGACACCAATTTAAAAAAAAAAAGTTTTGATTATTTAAGCATGTAAAGCTGGAATATAGCAGAAAAGATACCTTTATTAAACTTAGATGACACGAAGTTGTTCAGTTTAAAAGTAAATAATTGTAGCCTTTTCTAATATTAAACGTTTAATATTTGAGGATCAGTAAAAACTAAATAAATAAGGGTATTTAGACAAAGTTTGATATCCTTTTTATTATTGAATGCCTCTGTGTCTTTTTAAAACTGCATGTTACTTATATGACTTTTTATAAAAGTATATTCACAAATCCAGTATATACATACATACATACATTTATACATATGTAAATGGGGAACAGAATGTAATGAAATTTAAAATTTTACAAAAATAAAAATACAAATGACCAAGAAGCTGCAAAATGTATTCTAGCTCATTAATAACTAAAGGCATGACAGTATAAAATGGAAATTGATAAAAAGTTAATAATGCCCATATTGATATGACTACTAATATGATATATGTGCATGATCACATATATAAAGTCTTAGAACTATAATAAATTGAGCTTTTTTGGAGATCAGCTTTACAATGCATATCAGAAGCATTAAGGAAATGTTCATTTGTTTTTAAGTTAGCACTTCTGCTTTGAGAAATTTTTTCCAAGGATATAAATCAAGTATATAAAGATAAAACTAGCAGCATTGCCTATAAAGCAAAATAATGAAAACACTCTAAATGTCTATTCTCAGGGAGTAGATTAAATAAAATGCATGTGCATAAATAAGTATTTTGTGTATTCACATAAATCTTCTATGTATGAAAAATGTTAGCAGTGGTTGTCTAAGGGATGGACAATGAGGAACTACAGAGGAACTTTGTATACCATGTACTTTTATGAACTTTTAGCAAACAGAAAAATTAGAATATTTTTATTCTGGAAGAAGGATTTTATGATATAGGGAGCAAGAACATGCTAGGTGAAATAAGCAGAACACAAAAAGACATACTACATGATTTCATTTATGCATACATCTATAGAAGTCATACTCAGAAAAAATAGAATGATGGTTCCCAGGCCTCAAAACCAAAAATGAATACAATTGTTGTTTTATTTACTTTGTCACATAGTAAACTTGACATTTCTTAAATGTAAACATGTCACTTCTTTTCCTGAGTATAAGTAATAGATACTTTTTTTTAGTCTCTCCTTATTTTTTCTTCTAGTTAAAAAACTACATGTGGTGGTGTTTGTATGAATTCACAAAAGAAATTCACAAATGTAACCATATGGTATTGTGCATATAAAAATATACAGTTATGCTTTTATTCTATAATTTCATTCTAACAATAACTTCATTAAAACATATTTAGCAAATTGTTTAATAGTGTGAAACATTGTTAATGTCAATTAAGTTCACTTGTTCAGTCATCAGTTAATAGTTTAATGAAATGAAAGCACCAAATTTAGTATGCCTGTTTTTTTCTTTTTAGACGGATTCCATTTCTAGGTATGCTTTACTTTTTTTCTCATTTTTATCTTTTCTAGAAATATGTTGCTAATATTTATGTATTTTGTAAGTTTATAATGAGTTGGGTAATTTTTAAAAACCTATAGAAATTTAAATGACCCAATCCCTATTATTAGCTTTTCTTTGTTAAAGGCTTTACTTTTAGTTTATTGGTCATAGTAAGTCACTATAAGGGAAGAAAGATTTTTCCCACATCTTTGCAATAGTGATACTTTTTCCAGAGTTTCCTAAGTTATTTCAGCTTTGACTGTTTCATTATTAACATCAGGGACTGATGAAATACACACTTATCCAAAAATTTATTTGGTTAGATATTTAGTATCTCTTCCCTTAACCCTGCTTTAGTAAAAGAAAATGAAGATATGTTTAAAAGTTTCATCTAACTCAAAATTACTGTCCTTCAGTCTATTCTCAGTTTATTTCTCTTACCCATAATTGTTAACCAAAGCTCTATAAAAACAAGAATGTGTTTTATATATTTATGATTCTCTTAAATTAAAATGCAGAAACCATAGCATTTATCAGAAAAGGTAACCTGAATTCAGAATTAGATAATAAAAGGATTCACAATTAAAAGTAAAGATATATTCTTCCTAATTAGGGCAAACCCCACTATCTATCACTTTGGATACACTGTATTTTATCAAATCTAAGATGTTATTAATTTAAAACATTAGCATATGCCACTTACAAAGGAAAGGTGCTGCCATTTAAATTATGCTATCAATTAAAAGCCACATTTTGATGTCAGGGATGTTAAAATGTGGGAAAATACATAATTTAAAACTTTATAAAATAGTTTATCAAATGTAAAACCATCTCTGACTTTTGGATATAGAGATTTTGAATCTTCAAATAATATAAGTTAATAGTATTTTAAAAATCCCTTTACAAAAATTGATAAGATATATTAGGGAGACTATTTTGGAATATTGAATTAACATATGCTAGAATGTATGTAATCTGTGAAAGAAAGTCTGTAATAAAGTTTTTGACTATAACCTATCTTTTGAAGATACGAAACCAGTTCCACTTCAGCTAGTGATCGGTATGATTCCTTGCTGGGTCGCTCCGGATCGTATAGTTACTTAGAAGAAAGAAAACCATATAGTAGCAGGCTAGAAAAGGACGACTCAACTGACTTTAAAAAGGTACTTGGGTTACTTATATTTTTAATTAAAAATAAATTATCTTTTGTGTTGAAAAATATATTTCAGTATTATTCTAGAAAACTTATATCTTGAAATAACTTTCATTTTTCGTTTTTGGTAAGTAATGGTAAATAGAATATAAATAGCTGTTTGTTTTTTAAAGGAAAGAGATAAATACCCAGTACTTTATTTTACACTTAAGTGTCTCAAGCCATTACTGTGATTGAGCTAGAAAGGGGTATTCGGTAGTTAAAGTATACATATGGTATATGTTCACACACTTTGTTTATTGATTTGTTAGCAGAAAGCAGCCATACAGAAAAATATGGCTTTTTTAAAGAGAATATAGTTTTTCTTAGTAACTAGAAACTTGTGATAGATCAGGTGTTATTAAGGACTAGGGATTAATTGATAAATAAATCCTAAAACCTCAGCAACCTATGGTTTCAAGTATTATTATTCACATTATGAGCTTGGAATAAACCTTATGAAGTTTATAGAGAAGGAAGGGTCTTGTGGTATTTGTACATTTTCCTATTATCAGGCAACTCTTTGAATTATGTATTTAATTTATAAGGCAAATGAGCAAGTGTAGCAAGGGAGGAAGTTGTTTCCCATTATGAGTTTGATTCAGGCATTTATTTAATAAATAACTGAATACTCAAATTATGCTAACTGGTTAGATCTATAAGTGAGCAATGAGATGGAGATAATGTACTGCTCTTATGGGCATATTCCATATAGGAGAGATAAACATCTTACAAATGAATTATAATTTAAAAATTGGACCAGTCACCCTGAACAACAGAAACAATTGGCTTATGCCTGTAATCCCAGCAGTTCAGGAGGCCAAGATAGGAAGATGGTGAGTTTGAAGCCAGCCTCAGCAAGGGCAAGGCACTAAGCAATTCAGTGAGACCCTGTCTCTAAATAAGATACAAAGTAGAGCTGGGGAGGTGGCTCAGTAGTTGAGTGCCCCAGAGTTCAATTCCTGGTACAAAAAAAAATTATAAAAGTGTATAACAAATGAAAGTGGTGGGATATATGAATGGGTTTCCTAAGAAAATGAGGCTTCAGGTAAGAAAAGAAGGTTGATTCGTTGTTAATGAGCAAAAATGGGAGAGAAAATGTCCAGATGAAGTGAACTGTAAGCATATAGACATTGTGGTACAAGGATACATGATACATTGAAATAATTAAATGTTGATGTATAGGCTGAAACCAGTGTTTTATTATAGACCATTTTAAAGTTATCTGTATGCTAAAAGTATTGGAAAGCCTTCATGGGTTCTTAATTTGTGTGTGTTTGGGTGGAAGGGGTGACAGAACTGTTGGCGTAAGAAAATGAGAGATTTTTATTTTGAAAAGTTAAACTTTGTTTTTATGTATACAACAGATTAGAGGGAGGAGTATAATCTGTATAAGAAATGATATTAGTCAGAATTACCATGGAAGAAGTAGAGATAGGGGGGAAAAAGTAGATTCAAGCGTTAAGAAGACAGAATCATCAGAAAAGGGAAATGTCTTGAATTTTACCAAATGAAATTTGGATTTAAACATTAGTAGAAATATTTTGCTTGCCTTTTAATTTTAAGTCATAGAAGTAAAATGATTAATGTAACTGACACTATCACCTCCTTTGTAGAAATTTAGGAGGGTGTAATAGGCAGAAAACACATAAGAACAGAAAAATAATTTGTTCTCCCCTATTTTTATAGCTTTATGAACAAATTTTAGCTGAAAATGAAAAGTTGAAGGCACAGCTACATGATACAAATATGGAATTAACAGATCTTAAATTGCAGTTGGAAAAGGCCACCCAGGTTTGTACCCTTTTCTCTTTGTTATTCTCAAATTACATTAAAATTTTCCCTGGTATGTCTCTGTCATCTCTACAGAATCATCCTATAGCCTTTTTGTTGTTGTTGTTGTTGACCAGACTCTGGACTGTGTAAATGCTAGGCAAGTATTCTACACCTGCTTATACCCCCATTCCTCAAAATTTCTTTATAAAAATTTTTATGAATATTTCTGTTTATTCAAGTAAAAGTGACTAAAGGTAATAGTGCTAGATCATTTTAACTTCTTTTGTAATTTCCCTTCTGTGTAACAGCCTAGAGAAGACAGACAATTTTGGACACTACAGTTGAGATAGCTAAGCAAAACTCTAATTGTTTTCCAATTTCTTTTCTGTGGTATATATTAATAGTTACAGTATATAGTAATAGACCTATCTCCTCCTCAGCCTCTTCCTTTCCCAAAACAAGAAAAAAAAAATTGTGTTCAAATAACCTTAGGAATGCTACATATTTTATATCTTGGAGCTTAGACAGGATCTATTTATATGTTAAAGACTAAGAGGTCTATAATTTTGAAGAACATACATTTGCTTAATTTTAGCATGTTACTTTATAGCATAAGCATATTTCTGCATTTAGAATTCATCTTGAAAGCAGTGATCTAAATAGCACTGATCTACAAGTGGACAGAATACTTCTTTTTGGTCAGTCTTTTATATCGATGTTTTCCTTAATTTCTAAAAATTTAGTCTCTGTGTTTGACTTATACTTGTTACTAGGTCCTTTTTTTATTTTTTAACCACTGTTGTGTTGTAAAGCAATTGTTTATGCACAATGAATGCTATGCTAAAATTCAGGGGTCATGCTCATGAGGTTGAAAAGATTCCTCAGATCTTTCAGTTAATTGGGGTTTAATAAGAGGATGCACAAAAAAGTAAGAACAAGAACACATTTCATAGTAAGTTGTCATAATAACTTGAAATGTCATACAATTTAAAACCACTAGGCTGGAGGTGCTGCTCAGTGGTAGAACGTGTGCTTAGCATTCATGAGGCCCTGGATTCAATTGCTAGCACCAAAAAATAGGAAAGCTACAGCATGTGGTTTAGGTACAAATTTCTGATTCTTCTAAAGCCAGAGAAACAAGTCACTGGGTTTAAAGTAAAACAACTGTTGCATTGGCTGATACTCTTGAATATCATGCCTAGTATACTAACTTAATAATGAGAAGGATAAACTGAACTTCGTCAAAGTTAAACTGTTAAGCATTGAAGTGAACATTTTTGTCCAACTTTAGAACATTTGTCCTGAGAATTGAAGTCTACCAGGAATTCTTCCACCTGATATGTTTTATCATTCTTTTCATGACTATTCATAAATATACATAGCAGTAGCAGTTTGATAGTCATATGGAATATTTCCCAGGGAACTATCATCCTGCTTAGAATTAATCCTTAGAGGGACCTTTATATACTAGCAGTGGAAATGTAAATTAGTACAGCCATTATGGAAATCAGTATGGAGGTTCCTCGAAAAAAACTGAAAATGGAACTACCATATGATCCAGCTATACCATTCCTTGCTGTTTATCTGAAAGGATTAAATTGAAGTCAGGATATCTTAGAGACACATGCATTCCCATGTTTATGGCAGCCCAGTTCACAATTACCAAGTTATGGAACCAGCTTGGATATCTCTTAACAGGTAAATGGATAAAGTATATACATGTTACATAACGTTAATAAATCAATGGAGTTTTTTATTCAGCTATAAAGAAGAATGAAATTGTCATTTGCAGAAAAGTGAATGAAACCGGAGAGCATTGTGTTAAGCAGAATAAGCCAAACTCAGAAAAACAACTGTCATTTTCTCACATATGTAGAAACCAAAGGGAAAAAGGGGATCTCATGAAAATGAAGGAAGAGTGTTAGTTTATTGGGGAAGGGGGTTGAAGTTGATTTAATTTTGTTATGTACATTAATGAATATGCCACAATAAAACCCAGCTATTCTGTATAATTAACATGCACCAATATTTACCAAAAAAAGAATCCTTAGTATGCATGAAGTCCTGGGTTCAATCCCTGGCACCACAATTAAAAAAAAAAAAAAAAAAATCTTGAAATTTAGGTCTGTTTGATAGCATTTAGCAAGAAGCCCAGAATTCTTAAATCCTGGCCTAAATGAGCATTGTCTACCCTGTACAGTCTCCAGTGGAAATAAATAGGCCAATTTATCAAAACCAGTTGGCTTTATACATGCCAAATGACAAGTTCACCAGATTACTAATTGGGATTTTAAAAGCTAGAACTAGCATGTGTAACTAAAAGCAGTAACTAAATAAAAATGTTAACTAAATCTTTTTTTTTTTTTTTTTGGTGTGGGGGGGCCTGGGGATTGAACTTAGGGGCACTCAACCACTGAGCCACAGCCCCAGCCCTATTTTGTTATTTTATTTAAGAGACAGGGTCTCACTGAGTTGCCTAGCACCTCAGTTTTGCTGAGGTTGGCTTTGAACTCGCAATCCTCATGCCTCAGCTTCCCGAGCTGCTAGGATTATAGGCATACACTACCGCGCCTGGTTTGTTTTTTTTTTTTAATCTATGAAATTGGCAAACAAATCACAAAATACTACAATGTTCCCATTTGGGGAAAAAAGATTCCCAGTGAAATGCCTTTTTTGTTTTAATTTTTAAAATCATTGAAATGCTATTTTTCATCTAAAATTATAAATTTACATACAATGGCATAATGCTATTTCTGATCTTTTTCATCTAATTTTAAATTGTTTCAGTCTTAAGTATTTTATGATTCATTTGTAGATCTCATGTGGCATATCAACCTTTTGTTGTATATTTCTAGCAAATAAACATTTTAAATTAAAAACTGCCAAAAATCAGAATTAGCTGAAATAGTTCTACTTATATTTGAAATTATGGATTGAATTTCTAAAAAAAGAAACAATATATCAATTTTTGCTTTTCCAAAAAGAGTAAGTGCAAAAATATAAAACCATTTAAAATAACAGACAAAAGTAAAGATATGTGGGATTATGCATGATGAGTTCTTTAAATTTTTGTACTATAACGATAAATAAGAAATTCCGAAAGAAGATTTTAAAAGTAACTGTTACAGGTCCTAAAGATATTAAAACATGAATGCAGAAAGGCATAGCAAAAAAAAAGGCGTATTTTTTTTTTTTTTAATTACCACATTAGGGCTAGGAATGTGGCTCAGTGAGAAACCCTGGGTTGAATCCCCAATATGGCAATAAACGGAAAATGGAAAGAGAAAAATATAAAATTACCATAGTAAACAGTGAAAATTTGTGCTTAATTAATGATGAGCTGTCTTTAAAGTACATTTGTGTTGAGTAGCCATAAGAGACCATTCTTGTCCAGAAACATTTTTGGTAAATTAATAAAACTGGATTTTCAGAAAATTGTCTTTTGAGGAGTGAGCCATTTGTTGAATTTATTTCAGCAAATTGACTAGGAGTCCCAAGGGTCTGTGTAGAGGTCAAAGTAAATATGATCTTAGATTCCACTTGCTTTTAACTGAGCCTGTGCTCATTATCCAGATTAGAGCTCTTGAATACAGGGTGCAGCATATGACTTAAAATCCGAAGGTCCTTTATATACCCCTACAACCAAGCTCACATCTCCGGATTTAATCAACTTTGGGCTGGTTGCATAGTACATCAAGTGAAAAAACAAGAGACCTGACCTCCTCAGAAGAAAGTCTATATAGCTAGAATTTTTTACAAGTGAAAATTTATGAACCCTTTTACCAGTTCTGGAGCATGTTTGGAAAAGAAAAATAGAAGGAGTGAGCAAGACTACAATACATATGAGGAGGACAGAAAGACAAGTTTACTGGCCTGGCTGCATGTATATAGTGCCTACTTGGTTGGGTAATATTTCATTCAAGGTTCTAGAATCTGGCCATTCAGATTAGTCAATGCTAATGGTGCAAGAAAGAAGAGAATTTGAGCATCTGAGGGAAAACTAAGATGGTTTCATTTTTATTCTACAATACTCACCAATCTTTAGCCCCAACTAAACTATGAAAAGTATGGAAAATTATATAGGCCATAAAATTAAATCCAAGGAAATGATTCCATTACTTTTTATTCTTTTATTCTTTATGGTTTTCAATACAAATCTTGTTTTCTTCACTCACATCTGCATGTTACACCACCTAAATATTGTAATTTCTTTAAATACTTAAAGGAGGGTTACTGTGCCTCCCCATCTTAATTGCACTTACAACCCCTTTATAATCTAACTGCTTGCTTTGTTGCAGAGACAAGAAAGATTTGCTGATAGGTCACTATTGGAAATGGAAAAAAGGGTAAGTGTCTATCTCATTGACTAAGAAATTATTTTCCTTCTTTACTGTTTTGTATAAGCAGTGTTAGGGTTTTTTGTTTTGTTTTATGGATAGTTTTAGCTAGCTTAAATTAATATTACCTGAATAAATATATAGCTGTGGGGCCTCTAGTATGAAATGGCCTTAATTAAAATTTAGTATACCACATTATTCTCTTAATGAATTATTTTTAAAACATTCTTTCCCCAGTACCAAAATCTATACATTGTGATAGTGAAATCTGATATTTAAAAAATGCTATTTATCTTTATGTACATAATATATACTGCTTCATGTATATACATACCTTTTCATCATATATTTGTTTCTGATTTTTAAAATTAAAATATTTCATTTTTTTAACTTTTTTTTTTTGGCAGTTGTAGATGGACAGAATACCTTTATTTTATGTTTTAATTTTTATTTGCTGCTGAGGATCAAACCCCTTGCCTCACGAGGCATGCTAGGCAAGCGCTCTGCCTGTGAGCTACAGCCCCAGCCCAAATACTTCATTCTTGCAATAAAATTTTTTAAGTCTGGAGTCATCAAATTTTCACATTCTTTTGAAACTTAATGCTATTTTAATTTTGAGTTTAAATATTTATCTTAACCTATTTTAAACAAGAAAATATTGGTTTCAAGAAGATTCTTATGCTTTTTATGCCTTTCTACAATTTTTTTTTATTGGCTGTGATATATTCATTTAAATACACTCCACTTAATATTGCTCAGTAGTCTGGAAATGGCCATAGAAGTAAATCTACAAGTTTAATCTGAGCAGTTGAAAATTTATACATGATCCAAAAGCTAAAGGAAAAGTTCTTAAAGAGTATCTGTAGTGCAAGTGAGTAGTGCCTACACTTGTGGGGTTTTAAAGAAGAAATTGCATCTTGGTAGCATTGCTCTTTAGGCCAAAGAATAATCAGAATTGATATCACATTTTTCTTTCATTTTTAAAAAATAACCAATTTGCCTTTTTCACCCAAAAGTAAAATAAACCAACAAATACAGTTTGTTAATGTGGCCTTTACTAAATTGTACTTTGCAATAACTTTCTTTTTATTATTATTGGAGCAAGGTTTAAAAATAAGTGTAATGAGTCATTTTTTAATTGGTATAATTAATACTTGTTTAAAACAGAATCACTTATTAAATTATTGTATATTGTTTATATACCATACATTATTTTTATAATGTATCTCATTGAATTTGTTTCAAAGATACACAGAAATAATAAAATCATTTCTCTATTAATCATATACTAATGGTTGAAATGAAAGATATGTAACAAAATATACTTAATCAAAATATGTATTTATATTTGAGAGTCACATTTTTAAGAATATTTAATTTTTTATGAAAGTAATGTGCTTATTACAAAATTTTAGCAAAAGAAGAAAATATAAAAATCATCCATAATCTTATCAGAGAGAGTTAATATTACCCTTGTGATTATGCTTGTGATCTGACATTCTCACTGACCTTTTTTTTCTGCTTGTCAAATGCAGATAAAGTAGTTAATCCTTTCTTAATTTAATAGATATTTATCATGATCGTAACTGCTGACATTTATTTGGCATTCTCTAAGTCAGACAGGCTTAAGATTAAGCAATTTACTTTTGTTTTAATATGTTTGTCCAACAAAAACATATTGCCTGCAGTTTTATGATTGTGAATTTCATTGAGCCAACAGGATCAGTCAATTAGGTGTAATGTGCTTTTTTTGCTCTACCACTAAGTTAAAATTTTTAAGACACATAATAAAATTGAGGCTTATGGGGAGATTACCTGTCAGAAGGTAATCTATTTTACAAAATTATGAAGATCAAACAAGATACAATACAAATAGTACTTGGAGAAGTACAGCGGTTTATGTGTATTTGTCCTGGCTATGTTATCTAGGATAAAGAAGTATGTAGAAAATAACATTTTTGTCTGTGATGTTTAAGCATGTAAATATTAGAATAACAGTACTTTTAAGTAGGAGTGAGATTCTATTATTTTTTAAGTCACATATCCTAAAAACATTGACATTTACAGTAAATGTTCTGCATTACTAAATATCAAATTATTAATCTTGGAAAGAATGTCTTGGAAAGAGTTTTCAGTGTGATTAAACTAAATGTAAATGGTTTATATCTGAAAGGTGACCGGCAAGAGTCAGTATCTTCTGGGCGGTATGACCTAACCAGTTTTACAGCTCATCAATTACTGCTGCTTGCTTTTTGCATAACACCCTAGAATGCTTATCATTTAAGGGAGAATAAAACAGTACACTGCAATAATATATTGTATGTTGGCTTTGCCTGTCACTCTGTGAAACGAGTTTAAAATAGATTGCTGCAGTTGCTTCTCCATTAGATTCACCGCATTAATGCTACCACAGTATCAACCTATATGTAAAGTCAATTGGATAAATAATGAATAGTAAACATGTTTGGAGATCTCTTAAATCCTTTTGAATTATGAAGTACACATATTTTAGGCATGTTTGCTTCTCGCTTTTCTGCTTCTATCACTAGTAAAATTGCATCTTTGTGTGTTTTTATTTTGTTTTGTTTTCTGTTTGGGAATTTTTTTTTTTTCATATACAGGTTTTGAGTGTTGGCTTATTCTATCCCTAAGTTTTATGTTAACTAAAAAAATAGTTTGGACACCTTATGTATCATATTACCAGAAAGTCAAAGCTTTAAAAAAAAGAGAGAGAGCGAGAGAGAGAAAGAGCTTATAAAAAGTATTGAAAAAATAAATGTCTTCAAATTTATTTCTCTCAAATTTTGGGATGCTCTTCACACATCACTGGCATCACATCTCTTTCTACACTGCTCCTGATTTTTATCTTTAATTTTAAAGTATCACTATTTCACACTATAGAAGAAAACTCAAGGATATAATAATTACATAATTAATATTGGTACCTTAAATTGATCTAGGAACGAAGAGCTCTAGAAAGAAGAATATCTGAAATGGAAGAAGAACTCAAAGTAAGTAAACCACACTACTTATTAGAGATAGTGCTCTTTTGAATTTTAATATTATACTATTATAGATACTGTAATTGTTCTCAAAACTGATTAACCCAATTTGTGAATTATCTATACCATGTGCTTCTGTTTTCCTAAATTCTGGTATTAATGAGCTAGAGGAGGATTTAAAACCTAAATCATTTAAAAAATCAATTTGTATAGCACTTTTGATATTTAGGTTTTTTTTTTTTAATGGATGATATTAACTATAATATGTGGGGTTTATTAGTTCTTTACTTTTCCATATGTTTCTTGGAGAGTAAATGGTAGAGGGAGGTAATAAAAGACAGAATGTTCTCCTTCAAAATAAATGACATGAGAAGGGATGGGCAGGTAGAAGCATATTTTAATACCTATGGAAGTAATTATTTATTTTGAACATTGAACTCTGTAGGAGGAAAAATAAAAGCATAGCTAGATGTTGACCTATTATCACGTTATGAATTAATGAATAATGCATAGGAAATTATGCCCATAGAATTAGAATATCAAGATTTAAATGTTTTATTGGATTGTTTAGTTTGTTGTTAGACCATTATTAAATGACTTTGAACACTGGAGAAAATCTTTTTTTGCTTATTCATTTAGTTTGACATGGAATTTCAGAATACATTTCTTACCTTTTTAAATCTGTTGAAATAATGGCTTTAGACTTTTCTTGTATTCATTATCTGTTATTCTTTATGCTCATGTATTCTTTTCCATTTTCTTATTTTTTATTCTTATTTCTTTATGTTCTGATTCCTACAGAACCTGCACCAAATAAAGCAAATTCAAACTCTGAGAGAGTTAAATGAGCGACTGCTGACTGAGAATAGGGCCTTGACAAGAGTGGTAGCCAAGCGCTCAGGGTTCTATAGGCAACTTCAGTCTGTGAACCTTTAACTTATAGTTTCATCATTTCTTCTTGGTAGAGCCAGGCAGGTGCTTTCATATTAGTAAGCGTGTTTTTGTAAGAGCTCACTTTTACAAATTAATGCCATTGTGTCTGGAGCTTATCATGTAACTGTTTAATTATGCATGGCTTCTCAGAATGTCAGAAAATATCACTAATTGTATATTACAGCTGATAAACTACAGTAAAGCTAAGGGAAGATTCAAGAATTCGGTACTTTGTAAAGTTTATGCACATTTTTTAGTCTAAAAAAATATTTTACATCTTAAAATACAGCTAATTTTTATAGTCCTACTAGAAAGAAAATGGAATATAAATAATAAGACATTTTATATATGATTAATATATTTTGAGAATCTGAAGATTAAGCCTACATGTTTTTTAAAATAATGTCATTTTCAGTCAGAATCCTTTTTGTTTACATCTTAATGTGTAAACTTCTTATTACTATATATCTAAACATTCTGAACACAAGAATTAATTGATTCCAATAAAATTAGATTCTTCCTAAAGTCTTGGCCTAAGATAGAAGTAGAAACTTTATTTTTATCTAATTAGACTATCTTGTACACTTTGAAAACTGAAGAAAGAGAACTAAGTATCTTGGAAAGAATATCCAAAATATGCTAATTCCATTTCCTAGTTGACTTTACAGACATATAATTTCAATTATTCTTAGTAGAAAATTTATTTAATCTATAACATTTCTATCCCCTGCTTTAATTTGTAAAACTACAGAAAATCAAATTGCTGTGTTTCAAAGATATGAGTGTGTTTTTCTGTTTGCTTCAAACACTTTGTTACTTTTTATGAGTGAATGTTTTCAAAGATCTGCATTTACTACTTGGACTTAAAAATTGTTTTAATAGCCAGGTACAGTAGCACATGCCTATAATTCCAGCCACTCAGGAGGCTGAAGCAGGAGGATCACAAGTTCAAAGCCAGCTGCAGTAATTTATCAAGGCCCTAAGCAACTTAGGACCCTGCTTCAAAATAAAAAGGACGGGGGATATGACTCAGTGGTTGAGTGTCCCTGGGTTCAATCCTTGGTACAAAAATAATGTATATTTTTAAATTTTAATAATAGTAATAGTTGCCATTCATTGAGCACCTGTCTTTAATCAGACACTAAGAACAAGTCTTGGGGTTGGAGTTATAGCTCAGTTGGTAGAGTGCTTGTCTTGCAAGCACAAGGCCCTGGGTTCAATCCCCAGCACAAAAAAAAAAAAAAAAAAAACAAGTCTTGCCCCATGAGGTAGCGCATGGCTGTAATCCCAGCAGCTAATGCAAGAGGATCATGAGTTGAAAGCGTGAAATTAAACCTCAACAACTTAGGCCCTGGGCTGGGGATGTGGCTCAAGCGGTGAAACGCTTGCCTGGCATGTGCAGGGCACTGGGTTCGATCCTCAGCACCACATACAAACAAAGATGTTGTGTCCCCGAAAACTAAAAAATAAATATTAAAAAATTCTCTCTCTTTAAAAAAAAAAAAAACAACTTAGGCCCTAAACAACTCAGAGAGATCCTGTCTCTAAATAAAATATTTAAAAGGCTGGGGATGTGGCTCAGTGGTTAAAGTGTCCCTGGGTTTAATCCCCAATTAAAAAAAAAAAAGAACAAGTCTAATTCTTACCTCAACACTTTACTAGATAAGCTGGTTTTCATGTGGAACAATAATATTATGATTTTAAGTCTAGCTTAAAGCTAAAGGCTTTGGTTTAGGTGTTGAAAGGAACTCCCTTGAAGAGCCTATCCTAACAAAAACAGGCTTCTGGCTGCTCTAATATGGTGTGCTTGTGAGTTATAAAATCAAGTAATTTAGTAAATTTCTGTGGATAAGAGAATAAATCTTTTATTCCATCATTTATTAAACTAATTAGCTTCATAAATCAGGATTTTTTTGATATATGTTTTAGATGTAGAAATATATGTAACTGGCAAAAGCTTGATATCATGCGTTTGTGGTGTAAGTATAACATTTATTAAGATTTTTATCTTTTTGTTGAAGTAAAACTTTTCTTTCTGTTTTTCCTCTCATAGATGTTACCAGACCTAAAAGCAGACAACCAGAGACTAAAGGATGAAAATGGGGCCTTGATCAGAGTTATAAGCAAACTTTCCAAATAGAAAACAAACAAACAACACAGCAGGAATTGCACATATTAATAACCCAGTGGACCATAATTGGCAGTCACTGGAAGCCTGGGAAGAATCCTTTGGAGACTGTCATTTTTGGATATCCTGCCAAATGCCCTCTTATCTAGGATTTTTGTTTTGTTTAAGTTTCTGGGGGGGTTTTTTGTTGTTTTTTTTTTTTTTTTAATCAAGACCATTGTTTCATGTTAATGCAGCTGCTGAGAAGTTTTGGGGGTTTTTGGATTTTTTTTTTTTCTTTAAATGACTGAGAAAACTTGTTTACAGCTCCAGCATATAAGGAAAGTGTTCAAGGCCAGATATGCCTCAGATATTTAACCAGTAAGCCTTAGTTGTACATAAATACTTTTGTGTCAACAAAAACTTTCAGCTCTCACAGAAGACAGTTATTCAACATTTTTCCATGTGCCACGTTTCCAGTTTTTTAATATTTAATTTTTTTGCTTTACTCTAAGTTTGGGTTTGTATTTTTTCCTTCTAACTCTTCATGTGGCAGAGTCTTCTATGTTTTCCCAGCTTTCTTATTCATGGAAGAGAATATTTGCCCTTCTGAGATTATTGTCATGTGTTAGGCTAATGTGTTGTCTCCCACCTGGAACTGAATTGCTTGGTGGAACATTTGCTTTCACTGTTTGTGCAATATTCATTTATTTCTTATATGAATGCTTTAAGTCAGTTGAGATTAGATCTTTTAAGTTCTATTTTCTGCCTTCTATTGGTCACTTTTTGTTTTTGTTTTTTATTGTAGTATGTTAGATTCTGTAATCTTCACATTCATTTTAGCAGGTACTGAGTGATGCTGTAAATATAAATAAGTGTATTGTTTTGATTTTTAGAACACCACATGGCATGCTTGACTATTTTCTTAATTTCAGATGTCTGTTAATGCAAAGTAGGCTACTCCATGGTAGTGTTAAAAACAAAATGTGCTAACAATGTGGTATAAAGACTTTAAAAGTTAAATACATTATGTGGAGCCCTATCTTTACAGAAATTTTCTACTGTAAAGTGCTTTTATTTTTATTTTCAGTTTTCATTTGCTAGTATTCAACTATAATTAAAATTGCGTAAGATAATTGCTTCACATTTCACATACCTATATTTATCTGAGTGCTGTCTAAAACTGTTGTGCTAGCCAAAGTAATGCTATGAAATCATTTGTAGAATTAACCCGTGAGTTCATGTTAAATGCACTGTTTTTGCCATGTGAAGAGGCATTGACTTTAATACCACCATCATGTTCAGACCATTTTATACATTTCAGTGGCCTTTTTCTAGGGGAAAAAAACAAAACAAAACCAACTACATAGTGAAGATGGCTTTTATTTGGACAAATAGCTTTTATATTTTCATTAAATCATGCAAAAATATTACATCTTTCTGGCACATAACTGTCTCTTTAACCACTGAACAGTTCAGCCATTTGAATAAATTGTACATTGTAAAGCTTATTGTAGCTGATTGTATTATTGAGTGTATTGTATACTATATTAAATGTGAATTTGTACCTCTTCATTTTAAAAGGTCATTGTGTTCTACTGCCTATTTTAGATTACTTTGGGGTTGGGGAAGGGTATTTTGGTAAGCAGGATTTCAAGTCCTCTCTCTTGATGGTTTTATGAAGATATAAGGTTATGCTCTTACTACCAAGCTCAGGATTCTTGATTTTAAAGGTACAAGGATAGTTGTGGAATTTTATTTTTGGTTATATTTGAACTGTATGAATGGTGGGTCTGAATATAGAGAATTTTCATGGTCATGGTCTAATGTGGAGGTAAAATATACAGTAATTGATCAGTTTGAGTGACTGCAACATGTTCTGGTTGCACAACAGTTAGGCATGCTATGGTTTATATTTGTGAAGTTTGGATGCCTGTGAAGAATGATTAAATACATGTTTCTAATATTTTAGTGTTTTGTATTTAGGTTATTTATTCTTTGTATCTAAAATTGAACAGCTACTGTGCTATATTGATTTTATTGGTAGTATTGAGCAGACCTTGTTTCTGCATGAAACTAGTTGCAAAACTCACTATTTTGGAAATAAAAAAATGTATTTTGACATATACAAATAAAATGAATAAAACTATTTTAAATGTGTGAACTTTTAATGAAGACATTTTAAATTTTGTTCTGAGATATTTAAATTCTGCATGGGTATTTTTTCACTAATTGCTTTACTTGGATACCAATTTGAATAATTTTTGAAATTGTAATATTGTGATAATTTGCACAGCATTGTACATGCACATCTGTAATTGCAATCTTAATTGCCATATTTATGCAATCTGTGTACCAATTTGGACAAATGTTTATATATTTTACATAAAGCTGTCTGTATGCAGAATCTGAGAACTAGTTTTTTTATGATAAGTGGGTAAAAAGTAATGGTAACAGTGAGTTTCAAAATAGTTGTTTTGTAGCACAAGATTTCATTTCCATAAACATTTTGTGGTTTTTAAAAATTAAACCTGTGCTTTTTTTCCCTTAGCTGCAAACATAGATTTGTAGTACATATGAAGATAATATTCCATTGAAATAAAAATTTTACTTTTTTAATATTAGATCATTCTTCAACTTAGATTTGTCCAAGGTTCAATCTATTAACAGTCTAAAGTTAAAACTTTGATTTTTGGTATTGGCATTCTGATACAAGACTTATAATAAGACTGTATTTAACTAAATTATTGAATTATTTTCTTTCTACTTCAGTACTTTTGCCTATTTATGCTTACAGAATTGTTGATGTTATTGTAACTTGTTTTCCCCTCAAAAAAACTTGTCATGTGCAAAAGCTTGAAAAGTAGCTGTAAAACTATCACCGAGAGTTCATTTGAAAAAGTAAAGTAGGTTTTAGGCTACTTTATTCATTGCCTAAAAGTTTATTACCCCTTAGTCCTTCCTGGCTTATCTGAGATAGTCATGACTCCCAATGCCAGCACAAGAAGAAAAATATCCAGTAAGCCAAATTCTTCTCTAAACTAGAACCATATTTTCCATAGGGCATAAATAGCTTTGTAGATTTCTATCATTATAAGCAGAATACAGAGCAAAGTCCACTAACAATTATTAACTATCCATTAGCCTATCTTGTTAATGAAAACCTTTGTTGCCAAGATGAGAGCTGATAGATACAGTCTTTGCTGTTCTGTTTTCTACTACTATATGTGTGTGGTCTCTTGTGTGTCTGAGTACGCACGTTCGGCAGGGGTAATTACACATAAATACTACTGTCCAAAAAATATTGGGTTTAGAATAAAATATTATTTATTTTCTTATTATATGTCTCTTAATACTAAATCTATTTGAATTTCGTTTTGGAAAACCTCTGTGAGTAATTACTATATAAATAACAATGTTTTCTTCTTACGTGACAGTCATATTAATATTCAATGTCTACAAAATAGGTTGCAAGTACTAAATTAAAATAAAAATATAGGAACAAGTAACTTAATGTTCTATTTCTGTAATGTAACAATAGAGTATCTAATGCATAATTTATCTGTAATTTGAATTTTTATTAAAACTTTACTATAGTTTACTAGAAAGAAGGCCTTGAGTCAGACTAACTCAAAATGTCACTGCTTAAATTCCAATAAATATCTGGGTCACATAATTAACTGGATTTTTATTTTTTAAAAAACAAATTAGAAGAAAAGGTAGGCATGTACTTAGTGCTTATAGATCTGGGAGAATAGTAGTAGGAAAGAGATGAGATTTACCTTCCCTTTCTCACAGTTTTTTTATGGGTTTGTTTTGATACTGAGTCTGTTTCAGTAGCTTATCATTTGATTCTTAACAGGCTAGGTAAATAAGAGCATATCTCCACTTTACAATGAGAAAATTAAGGTTTACAGGTTACAAATTAGGTTAGCTCCCCAAAACTGGTACAATACAGAGCTCTTCCCAAAACTTAAATGTGGTTGTTCCTATTTTCCCCCACTCAAAATCTGAGACTTTTTAATGTATATTAGTTAGTTCATAGTTTATTTCCATTAAATTACATAAAATATTTTAGTCTATTTTATAGGTTTAGGCTGAAGATACTTGATGCTCTTTGAGGATGGCATTTCTTGATTTTTTTTTCCCTAATCCCATGTTTTGAATCTCACACATGCTAAACTTTTTCTTCTTATAACTTATTACTGAATACCACTTTGGGTTATAGTGGTATTTTATTGTTATTGATTAATTGATAAATGCTCTAATGCTCACTAATTGATTCCCTAGTGCAAATTCTGACTATGGCCTATAGTCACCATAAGTTTGTAAAAGATTTTACATGTATGCATGAAAAAAGAAATGCCTTTTGCATTCTTCAGAAATACATTTTTTTAAACTAGTAACTGTAGTTCTAAGAACTTTTTTTAAAAAAATTCCCTAGTAAGATATACAATATTGATAGTGCTACAGGTTTAGCAGATTTTTTTCTCCCAATGAAAATATATGTAGAATGTTATGTGTATAAAACAATTGCATTTCTGTGAACTCATTAACATAAGCCCTCCCCCCCCCCAAAAAAAAAAAAACATTCCAAATAGGTCCAAGACTTTATCATGACAGAAGCATGACTCCCTTACTTGTTCAGTACACAGTTCTTAGGTTGCAATAGCATTTTTAAGCAGTTTTGCTTGACCTGCACTTCTCTTATAAAAGTACTTTATTCATGCTTTGGTATACTAGTTTATATGAGTGAATATGTGCAAGTCTGAGTTTTAAGGTGCTTCTAGTTTCCCTCTTAATGAAAAAAAATCAAATACAAATACAGGCTTCCACACAAAAATAAGAACTTCACAGTAAAAGTGTCTTGGTATTCTTCAATAATTTACAATTAAGTATATTTATAATTTCTAAAGCATTTGAGCTGAATTAAAATATTGTGAGATCTGTAAAATGCCTTTGCAAAACTGTATTCCCAGTGACTTGGGAGGCTGAAGCAAGAGAATTAAAGATTCAAGGCTAGTCTGGGCAACTTAGAAAAGATGCTATCAGAATAAAAATAAAAAGGGCTGAAAATATGGCTCAGTGGTAGAGCATCCCTGGCTGCAACCCCTGTTACCACTAAGAGGTAAATAAAATAAAACCAATTTGTAAACCTTTACTAGTGAACATTTGGATTCAGTCAGATCTAGGAGGAGGAGGAAAAGAACCCCACTTGATAAATGTCAGTAATGTTAAGCATCTTGTAGTAATGAAACATTTAATAGTATTGTTCCTGGTTTGAATATATTAAAACAATTTTTTCAAATAGTTTACTCAGTTACTATAAACATCTAACTTTTTGCCCTGAAACCAGTAAAAGAAAAAGGTACAAGAGGTGGATTTCAGAGGACTTCTTTGAACCATTGGAAAGGAGACAGTATACCTCTGTAACCTTGCTGCCACACGTGTTCTAAGGATTCCAGGGACACTGACCTGCTACCCATGTGAGTTTAATCTGTTTATGAACCCCAGTTACTGTTTACAAAGAGGGAAAAGTGGCTGGGCATTTATAGGCATCATATACAAAATGTATTTGCCATGGCAGAGACAGGTGGTGTGGGCTAGTAGTTTAGAAATGAAACTTAAAATTATCATTAGCAATTGCTGCTCAGTATGTCCTATTTTAATTACAAGTTATAGTTGTTGGAATATTAGGATTATCACTAATTTTGAATGCCTTTGAAGTTTACACATTGGTTCTTCATATTCTGAAATCATCTGGGCTATTTGTCAGCCTTCAAGTCAGACTAATCTTTTTACAAAATGGTCTCTTGCGTAGCAGTTTTTAAATCTGATTTATTCCTTTAGTCCTGCCTATCTCATTCATTCTCCATGAATACCACATTTCCAATATGTATTACTTGCTTGACTGAAACCAGTAGATGGAAAACCAAAATTTTAGCATATTCTTTATAGCAAACCCTACACCTATCTTGTATTTCTGGTTTTTAAAAAATGTTTCTTTTGCTCTGAGCTCCTGGAGAGGACAGAGTCTTGTTCATCTTTGTTCCCAAAACAGCACAGTGCCTGGCACATAGTTGGTGTCCACTGGATGTTTTAAAGAGGAAAGAGTAAATGAACTACTTGACTGGCATCTGAATTCCTTTCTCCCCCAGGACTGACATCTAGATTTTTAAGGAAGTTTTTAAAGTTATTAAATATGAACAGTCTGGGCTAGAGGTATAGCTCAGTGGTAGAGCACTTGCCTAGTAGGCATGAGCTCTGAGTTTGGTCCCTAGGACTACAATAAATAAACAGATACAAACATGATTTTTTCATACTTTGTCTCAGTCTTTCAACAAGTTCTTGTTAGCATTTACATGCCCAACATCCAATAGCAAAGCAGGCAAAAATAAAATCCTTACTTATGGAAGTTACATTCAAATAGAAAAAGATCAAAAACAAACAGTTACATATTAATTTAGAAGACAATCATGGGGAAAAAAATAACAGGGTAAGATATCTCAGGAATTAAGCAAAAGTAGAAAGCTTTACTGAGAAGGTAACTTGAACCAAAATTGCAAGAAAAGCTCGCCAAAAAAATATGTGAATTAAACAAGTTAGAGTAGTGTGAGAGAAAGAGAGGCAACAAGAATGCTAGATTAGGGACTTAATTTAGATATTTGTTGACCATGCTATGGATGCTAGACTTGTTTCCTCAAAAACCTTATCTATCCTCTTTTCCCAAGAATTATTTGTAGCTCTTTAGAGTAAAAGCCACAAACATATAACTGAAATTGTTTTTTAATAAGTGAGATAATAGTTGGATTATAAATTGTGAATTAGAAAACTTGGGTTGAGTCTCCTGATAGAAACTTAATTAAATGTAAAACATTTTCCAACTCTGCAAGGAATCAAGTCAGAAATGGAAAACTGGATTTTTATAAATATCATTAAAATATAAAAGAAATTTTCATCAGTTCTTTGAGCAAAATAAATAGTTCTTAGAAAACAATTTTCTCTCATTGGTCTGAACATAAATGTACAGATTTCTCAGGAATTAAGCAAAATTGTTACAATGCATTTTTCTAGCACTTGTGTTCAGGTAATTTCTTGTTTCTTTCCTGAAAAGCAAAAATTGAATATTAAATTGTGCCTCCATAAGTA